CAATACACTTATTTATGATAATTTTAACACAGAAATAAAAAATTTTAATACGAAAATTTAGGCACAAAACGAAATTTTTGATGATTCATGATGATGAGGATGAAAAAAACCAAACCAACATCAAGAGCGTGTTGGTGATTCAAAACAAGAATTGAACGAACGCCACCTCGTGTCTGTCTACCGATTTATTTGCCATTTCTTTCAAAAAGAAAATTGAATGAAAAAAAAGAGTAACCCAAAAGTTACCATTAGAAAAAGGAAGAGCCAAACAGGATGATAAATTCTCTTTCTTTTCCTCATCTCTTTCTAATTCTCTTTCTTTTCCTCATCTCTTTCTAATTCTCTTTCTTTTCCTCATCTCTTTCTAATTCTCTTTCTTTTCATCATCTTCTTTTTCCTCTCTTAGGTTATGCTGTTTGTTATTTGTTATTCTCTGTGTTGAAATTTTGTCCACTTTTTGCAAGCAAGTTCAACGTTCATCCATTTACCTTTAATTTTCTTCTTCTTCTTTCTAATTATCTGATTTACTTTACAATTAATTCAATTGTTATTGACCATCACACTTAACCAATTATCACCTGTTCACCTTCAACCTCAATCAGAACTTAGATGTCATCTTGATTATCTCCTTTTACCGGTCATCATCACTTACATCAGAAGCACTTTGTTCATCTTGATTGGCAATTTGTTTTGTTTTTTCTCTTTCTTTACAAATCTACTAGTGACTCCACATCACGACACCAAAAAAATGTTGCTTCATAGTTTTATCTTGCTGTGCTCTCTCTAGGTTTTTACCAAAGAGTAATATAAGAAAGAGAAAAACGACAAGGGAGACTCGCGTGAGATTTATCCCCAAACAGCTCTTTTTGCTGTTGATCGCTCTCTCTTCCTTACTACTCTTTGGTTTTTACTCTTTGATACGAACATAATTAAGGTGATAATATTTTTATCCAGCGACCTCTCGATATGACCACTAGATTAGTCCACTTAATGAGATGAGAGAATTGATTACTCAAGTTTCAATGGCAATGGTTTAAAACAATTAATTGATTGATTTTTAATATTCACATGTTAAATTGTTCGTCTGTATCGGATTAATCAGGCTAATCATCTGCTTATCAAAAAAATGGCTGATTGTTGAATTAATTTAGTTAGTGTACTAATTATTGTGTCTATCATTAATGTGTTAAATTAGATTGGAAATGAAATTGATTATTGGAGCCACAAATGGCTACTGACCCAATCGACTTCTAATCTTTCAACCAAAAGTATTGGAAGGTGACATTAAAAAAATTAATCTGATACAATGACGCAAAAAGATGATAATAGAGATGCTTTGTAGTTAATGAGTGGTTAGAGAGAGAGAGAGATTTCTTCTGTTCCAATCAGCCTAATATATCCTCCTCTATCCACTCTCGCCTATTGAGATTCCACATTCTGTCACTGTTACACCGAGCCGTGTGGTGCCGTGCTTGACCAGCCACAGTGGACTTCTCAGGCTACAGCGAGCGGCCCCTTCGGCCATTGGCTTAAGAAGGGGAGCCCTAATGGCCTTTAAGCGGTGCCTGGAGACTCTCCCCGTCTTACGCCTTCTAGATGTCACCATCTAGGGAGGCTGACTCCCTCACGGGATCCATTTCAGCTAACGCTCATTTCAGCTAGGGTGCTGCCTTCTCTTTCTTATATGTCATCACCGGGTTTCGAACTCGCAACCTTGACTAGCAAGGGCAGATGCTTAACCCTCTGAGCTGAGAGAGAGAGAGAGATGGGTAATATTAAGCTATTACATGATAGTAATTAAGTGTTGGTGGTTAACTGTGAAACAGGGAAACAGTTAGGACGGAAGTGTTTGCTTTAGTATGTGTGAATATTGTGACGTGCCATGGGGAAAAACTGTTCGAGTTTTCTGATATTTTGAAATTGTATTACTGAACTTTCAACCAATATTATCCCTATTGAGATCCTGTCATCGATTAACTAATTGTCGACACGTCAAGTCGACTCTATTTACCAGTTCATGTAAACAACTTTTTGACTCTTTCCGAGTTTCTGTTAATTATCAACAACAATTAGGAATAACCTCAGTTTTTGGTTACAATAAGAAGAAAAATTATTATGAAATTCTTGGTGTTCCTCGTCATGCCAATAAAAGAGAGATTAAGAAAAGTTATATCGCCTTGGCGAAAATGTTTCATCCCGATTCTGTCTCCAAAGAGACTTCGAGTCAAGAAAAGTTCCAAGAGATTCAGGAAGCTTATCAAGTTCTAAGCGATGATGAGAAAAGATCTAAATATGATTCTCAGGTAATGAAAGAAATGGGAATGCAATTTAAACACCATGAACGAACTAAAGATTTCAATCTAATGAAAGAAACAGTTGAAGGTGAAATCCTTTTTCGAAACATTTTCGGTGATCTGGAAAATCCTTTCGCCAAAGGTGAAAAACTCAAAGAGGGACAATACGCCGAGACAATTTGGGGATCAACTCCAGCAGAATCATTAATCATCTCATTAACCGTGGAAGAAGCGGCCAAAGGTTGTAAACAAGAATTCGAGATTCGAACCGTTGATGTTTGCTATTTATGCAATGGTAGGAAAAGAAGAAAATAATTAGAGAATCGGAAAGAAATACTAATATTGAATTCGTTTTATTATTCTTATTTCTAGGAACAAGAGCTGCTTATGGATTTCGGCCAATCATATGTCCATTTTGCGATGAAAATGGACTTGAAACGATTTCTACCAAACCGATTACCGTTAAATGCAAATGTCGAGCCTGTGGTGGAACCAAAGAGTATTTGAAACACCCTTGTCCAGATTGTGAGGCGACAGGCTATCAAATTCAAAGTAAAATGGCAAGTTTCAATGTCCCTCCGGGTGTGAGAGATGATGAAGTCTTAAAACTAGTCATTCGAGATCAAACAATCTTGGTCACTTGTCGGATTAAAGACGATGATTATTTCAAAATAAATGGAAATGATATTCATACAACCAATGAGATTAGTTTAAGTCAAGCCGTTTTAGGAGGTAGAACGACAATTAAGGGAATTTATTCAAATTTTGACGTCACAATACCGAGTGGAACTCAATCCCATGAGAAGATTAAAGTAAAAAATGGAGGTTGGCTTAAAGAAGATCAATCTTATGGAGATCATATTGTTCATATTAAGATAAAGATTCCCGAGTAAGTTTCAAATTATTTTATCCATGAAAATGTTTATTGTTTGTATGGAAACTTTAATCAAAAACAATTATCCTCGTGAAATCTTTTCTATTTACAGAAAATTATCTCGACGTCAGAAGAAAATTTGGCAACAATATTCAAGTTCTAAGCGATGATGAGAAAAGATCTAAATATGATTCTCAGGTAATGAAAGAAATGGGAATGCAATTTAAACACTATGAACGAACTAAAGATTTCAATCTAATGAAAGAAACAGTTGAAGGTGAAATCCTTTTTCGAAATATTTTCGGTGATCTGTAGTAGTAAAAAAGAGAAGGAGAAAAAAATTTAGTTTCAAGTTAATTGTTAATCAATCGACTAACTCACTTGTTTCTGCAATTCTTTCGTCCTCTTAATTAACTTGGGAATTTCTGGTGCAAACTTTTCTCCCTGTAATGATTCATCTTTAGCCTTTTCTTGTAACGATTTAGATTTATCAAGAGCTTTATCCGCTAACGAGAGTTTCATTTTCATCTTGTCAGCAGCATTGTCAATGTATTTACGGTCATCTCTCATCATGAAGATCAAATTGGTCTTTTCATTGGTCATCATTTGGAGGATTTTCTGTCCTTGTTTCATTTGAGTTGACAATTTCTCTGCTGTGGTCATTTGTAAAATGTTTGAGCTTCTCCTCACATTCATCATGTAATTGCAATCGGTTTGCTCATCCCTTTTTTACGGCTTTTTAAATTCAGATCAATTTATTTTCCATCTTCAATGTCTAGGAAACTTATTCTTCGATTATCATCCTCATCCTCATCCTCATCATCGTCAGTATCTGCATCATCCATTGTCCCTTATAATCCGCTTGCTGTTACTTTTCATTAACCTTGTATTACAATACGAACATAATTAAGGTGATACTATTTTTATTCATTGACCTCTCGATATGACCACTAGATTAGTCCACTCAATGAATAATTTCCTTTAGTAAATAAGGTGAATGAGAGAATCGATTACTCAAGTTTCAATGGCAATGGTTCTCAACAATTAATTGATTGATTTTTAATATTCACATGTTAAATTGTTCGTCTGTATCGGATTAATTAGGCTAATCATCTGCTTATCAAGATTATATTTTCCAATCAATATGCTGAATAAATAAAAAAAATGGCTGATTGTTGAATTAATTTAGTTAGTGTACTAATTATTGTGTCTATGGTGATTTAGTTAATTCTGACGTTTGAATCTTGTTTCAATTGCTTATTAATTTAGAATTTGTTTCAATTTGATTGTTATTACTTGATTATTGGCGTTTTCAATGTGACAAAATCATTAGAGTAGTTGGGAACTCCAACTTAGAGTAAAATAATTACTCATTTATTATTCATCATCTTTAATGTCATCTCAAAGAGATTAATTGTAATTACAATGTAATTGTAACTTCTTGAGCAAAGATCAACCTAAACTATTGAATTATGTCATTAATGATCTAATCATTTTTTTTTCATCAACAATTAACACAATTTGTATCAAAATCATGATAAACCGTGTTAACAATTTGCTAAATTAGATTGGAAATGAAATTGATTATTTCATTTTGTTAATCAGTCTAATTGGAGATTAATTCTGATAAGTAATCATTGGAAATTAAATCTTAATAGTTAATTTTTGTCGTAAAACTTTTACCAAGTCAGACTGCGAGAATTTTTTAATCAATCAGCTGATTAACAGGAAAAACAACAACCAGAATCCCAACCACAACTCCATCAACCGCCAAGCGCTTTGATTAAATGAGTGAACAATTAAATGTTAGAATTAATAAATTGGTCAGAATATAAAGTTTTTATCGTTTGAATGTAAACGAATTGTTTATTCATTTAATTGATTGTAATTAAGTCCAAATCAAGAAAAGAAAAATAAAGTAACATTTAATTAGATGAGTTGGATTGGGTATTTTAAACAAAATCAAAAATAATCAATAATCATCAAAGGAAAGAAAATTGTTTAAAAGTTTTAACCAAAATATATCTTAATTGTTGATTCACTCGATTGTAATAAGATCAGGATGAATTGCACTATAAATGGTTTACAGAATTGTCCATGTTAGAAAAAAATTTCTTAATCATTGGAAACGATTAAATATCAATTTGATTGCAATTCTACCAAAATAAATTTGTTTAGAGTGAAATTTTCGAGACCAGGTTAAAACAGAGAGAAAATTTTCCATATAAATAAAACAAATTAAACTACAAAATTGACTGAGTGTAAGTTAATTGTGACAGAATTAAGTTACACTAGAAAAGTTAATTGTAGATGTTTTCGTTAAGAAATTAGGAAAGAAAGTTAAATATGTGTGTGTATCAGAATCCATGATGATATTTTTTTTTTCTAAAAATTGATCTATTTTGTAGCACTGGAAATCGGCAAATTTCCTCGACTGGAAAGACGATTCCAAGAAATTCAGTTGACCATCATAATCGTCGATACGATTTAACTTGAGGGATATGAAACTGAGACAAACTGAAATCCAAAAACTATTGACAATCCAATTCTCCCAATTGTTTAGAATTAAACTTGATTCTTTTCTCAGATTGAATGATTATCCACAATCTTTGTCCGTCGGAGTAAAGGAAAAGAAAAAGGTTAAAGAAGATCAATATCAAGGGAATCATAAGTACGAAGGTTAAGTTTTCTTTTTCTTTTTTTGGAGACCATTATGGTTTGACTTTGTTTCGTTTTGCTTTCTTTCTTTGACGAATCCGAATATCGGCTCTTATCGGTGGTTATTGGGGCCACAAATGGCTACTGACCCAATCGACTTCTAATCTTTCAACCAAAAGTATTGGAAGGTGACATTAAAAAAATTAATCTGATACAATGACGCAAAAAGATGATAATAGAGATGCTTTGTAGTTAATGGGTGGTTAAGTTTTGTTAGAGAGAGAGAGAGAGAGAGAGAGAGAGAGAGAGAGAGAGAGAGAGATGGGTAATATTAAGCTATTACATGATAGTAATTAAGTGTTGATGGTTAACTGTGAAACAGGGAAACAGTTCAGGACGGAAGTGTTTGCTTTAGTATGTGTGAATATTGTGACGTGCCATGGGGAAAAACTGTTCGAGTTTTCTGATATTTTGAAATTGTATTACTGAACTTTCAACCAATCGGATGATTTGGTGAAGATGAGATTGGCTGTCATGAAGTGAGAATGTGCAATGTTAAAAAACTGACGACGTAATCAGTAATCAACCAGGGTTGAGATGATTGTTTATAGATGATTATTGTTACGGTGATCGCGATTTAGAAGTTAATTGCTCAGTAAAATCCCTCTTTTTGTTGATATAACTTTTCAATCGCATTTCTCCAAATTCCTGTAGGCATAAAGAGATAAAAGAGGAAGAAAAAGAGAATGAAAAAAAAAATATAATTAGATAATTGTTGACAATTAGTCAAGGTAAAAGCAAAAAAAAGAGCAGAGGAAAAGGGAATCATAAGCCTAATGATAAAGTTGATGATTAATTGGAAAGAAAATGGGAGAGAGAATAATTATCATTAATAAACATCAAGACACTTGAAAAACACTTTTGATCGGCGATGTGTAATGATACTTTTCTCATATTACTTTTCAATGGTTAACAAAAAGTTAGAGAGATTATGAGAAATTAAAATGGCTGACAAACAGATGATGTTAGATGAGATTTGATGATATTTCATTACACAAGCACGAAGTTCATAAAACAATTACAATTAAATGAATCTGAAGTGTCTCGTGATCTTTTTTCATGATTAATGTTAGAAGGAAATTGAAAGATAAGTGTCATATGAAAAGGTGAGTTAAAGGGAGAGGGAGAGGGAGAGAGAGAGAGAAAGAGTGAGTGAGTGAGTGAGAATGATGAAAAGAGAAAATGGAAATGAAAGAGAAAGAGAAAGAGAATAAGGAATTGATGCTAAGTTTCAATGACTTCACCATAACCAATTGGAATTGACCGCTAGTGTTGATACAATTAATTCCTATCAACTTATATCACCCTGATTGTTTTCCAACAGCACAATCAAAGACGTATCTCCAAAATCCAACGTCTAGTAAACAGACTCAGGTAATTAAAGGTCATCTTGCTTTGTAGGATTAATAATCATAATCCTCATCATCATAATGCCTGATGAAGAAAAAGAATCCTGGTTTGCATTGAAGATCAAGCAAATTAATCAAACAAACTAAAAGGTTTCAGATTTGATCAAATTGTTTCATTACACAAAATTTATGATATTTGCCTTTCTAATGTCAATTATAATCAACATATATTGAAAATGGTAACATGATATGTTAACTTAATCAAATGAGACTAATAATCACTAAAAGAGATAGAGGGAGGGAAAGAGAGGATCTAATATAATCACGCAATAACAAATAATTGTTACAAAATCTAATGGATTAATACATAATATTAGGCCAAATAGAATCTGCGCAATCAACTAATCTTGTTTACTGTTAATCTAACAGAAAACAAATTATCTCGGCTTTTTTATTTACCGTGGAAAAAAACCAAGGACAATTGATGGAAGAAAAATAGAAAGAGAAACAATTTGATCAATCTTACTGAGGCAGAAGAGTAGAAACTGTTGAAAGATTAATGAGAATGAGAATAATGATCAACACAAAGACCTTTTTGTTTGCTGCGATTGGTGATTGGTGATTGGCGGTGATTTACTGGTGAGTATTATTAGCATTTTTTTATCTGTTTTTGCAATCGGTGAACGGCAATGGTAAAATCAAGGTTTCATAGAAGAACAAGAGTAGCATGAATTGCCTAGGAATTTGAACTGATTCTCTGGTATGAAAAGGTTGGCAAGGGTAACACAATAGTCGTCATCAAGATACACACCCAATAACCGAAAACAATTTCCGATGAGACTCCATGATTGATACTCCAAAGTGTCCAAAGTAAATGAGATGCTAATGAGTAAGCGTCCGCTTCCCGTAAGATATGATCCTCATTGTCGACTTCTGTTCTTGGTCTCGATCTATCGACAGCCTTCAGATATTCTCGGACAAAATGTCGTCTCTGACTTTCGCTTGGATAATTTTCCGGTTTATGGTAAAAATGAGGCCACTCTTGTGCTGAATAATCATATGTCCATTCAAGGAAATGATTGGCGAAATCAAAACCACGATGATTGTACGAACAATATTCAAAGTCTATGAAGATAACCTTGGGTTCAAGGGTTCGATTGGATCCGTTTGAAGATCCATTGGACCGATTACGATTACGGAAACTACTTGGTGTTGTGGGGATACCAGGAAGCAGAATGTTACCTTCTTGAAGATCATTGTGGCAAAATACTACAGGAGATTGGACAGAAGAGAGGAAACTTTTCAACCAGATAAGTTCATCTTCATAAGGAAAACTGAGGAGTTTCTTGGCGACACATCGATACTCGGGTTTAACCATTTTCAGGTCAACTCGACGAGCACTTTCCAACCAAGAGTACATGTTATCGAAAAGCCAAGTAGGCTCTTTGTTAATGGGAACATCAAGACTGTGAACATGGGCTAATTTATGGGCAATGGTTGAGGAAAGAACTGGATCACGAAGCTGATCACAGGTCATCGCTTGTGCCGGAATATATTCTTCAAGTCGTCCACCGGGAAAGATTCCATACAATTTGGGTCCCAAGTTTCTCTCAGATAATAACATGAAAATCACTGATTCTGTCATTTTGTTCTCGTTTTGTGTCGTATCGTCAGAGTGAAGTTGCCCATACATTCTGAGTAATACTTGACTTGGTTCACCACATAAAGGAGTATGAGTTGAGGGTAGAGAACAATAATACAAGATATTACTGAGACCACCACTGATGGAATGAAAGATCATGTCATTGGGCTGAATTTCCTTCCAAGAGCCTGAAAGATATTCTCGACAAATGTTGAAAGCCTTATCACGTAAAGAATCCACATTTAGTGTTGATGTTGACATCATCTTGCGAATACCATTGAATAAAACTAATAAACAATAAAAGAAGAAGAAGAAGAAGAAGAAAACAAAATAACAGCAACAACAACAACAAGTATTATAGAATCGGTAAGAGTACAAATACAACTACAGTTGTCTAATCAATAAGAAGGGATAATAATCGTGATTAAATGTTTCAATTCACTTTCAGAATAAAAGTAAACACAAATTGTGAGGAGAGAGAGATAAATAAGAATAAGACTTTCAATTAACCTCTGAAGCTTGAATTCATTTGCAGGAGAAAATAAGTGAATAAAAATGGAGGCAAGGAGGGAGAGAAGGATAGAATATTCTAGGCGCCTTCTATTGGTGATGGAATATATCGATTAAGGTAAATTAAAGAATTATAGTTAATTGTAAGAGATGAAATTCAGTTCAGTGTAATCACTAAATTAATGAGAAAAATAAATGAGTGAAACCAATTAGATTTAAAGATAGTGAGAGCTGCACCCGTTTTGCAAAGAGTAGTGTTGCGGTGATACTTTACTTTTGAGTAATACTATCGATACTCAATTTTTGGATGAGTATCGATACATTGTGGTTAAAGTATCGATATTTGAGTTTGTTTTGAACAATTTGACTCATTAGTTTGATGTTTTCAACGCGTTTTTTGTTGTGTTTTTTTCGCTTTTTTGCAATTGTTTTCAACTGAATGTCTAAACGTAGTAAAGTGTGGGACCATTTCACCGACAATGGGAATCAAGAGCCAACTTGTAAACTGTGTAGCAAATTAGTGAAATCGGCTGGTAATACTTCTAACCTGAGGAAGCATCTAAAGACCAACCATAAAAGTATTTACTCTAGTGAATTTGCTAATTTTGATGAGAACGAAGACCAGAATGGGAACCAAAGAATTGATACCTTTATATCAAAGGTCCAGTCAATGAAAGGTAATCTATTTTGTTGTGCTTATTGATTGTAATTTCTAATGATTACTTTTGTTTACTTGTGTGTATTTAGGTGGTGATTTGTCGAAAGCAATTGATGAGCAAATCGCTTGGTGGGTCATTTGGAATTCACTTCCTTTCAGGATAGTTGAACACCGTGGTTTCAGGGATTTCATTCGCTCTCTCAGTAAAAATTACAACCCACCAAGAAGAGACAAATTGAAGAAGATCATTAATGATCTTTACACAGCTAAAAGCAACCAAGTTAAATTGTATCTTGCTGATGTTAAATGGTATTCTCTCACATCAGATGGATGGAAGGATACGAGTAACCAGATAACATACATTGGTGTTACTCTTCATTACATTGACAACTACGAGCTGTTTAGTATCTGCTTAAAAGCTAATCACTTTCAAGGTGATGCAACAGCAGAAAGAATACAGTCGTCGATTGAGGAATCATGTAATGAGTTTGGTGTTAACATGTCCAGTATTGTATCTATTACAACTGATGGTGCAAGTAACTATTCAAAAGCTGGTCGTAATATTGCATCACACATTCACTGTGTCGCTCATAGACTGAATCTAGTCGTAGAAGATTCATTGGAGAATAGCTTGCAACTTTCACATTTAATCGAGAAGTTACGTAACATTGTTACATCATTCAAGCAAAGCAGTAAGTTGATGGATGATCTTAATGCTTTTCAGTCATCCAATGGGGAAAAGCAATATAAGCTTATTCAAGATGTAACAACGCGATGGAACTCAACCTACCTGATGATCCAACGTTACCTAATATTGCAGAAAGACATTTCTTACGTTCTCCTGAAACATGATAAAAGAGAAATCGATGTAGATTCAGATGATGTAAGAAGTTTGCATAACATCTCTAAGGTTCTTCAACCTTTCTATGATGTAACCTTAGATATTTCGGGAGAAAATTACGTAACTGTATCAAGGATAATACCTCTCATCAGTAGTGTTAAGGTTATGTTGCAAACCATTAGACCTGATGATAGCGTTTCATCATCTTTACTCAGAAAGTTGATTACCGAATTAGATTATCGGTTTGGTAATATTGAAAAAAACCATTTGTTTTCTTTTGCAACGCTATTGGATCCTCGTTTCAAAAAATTAGCTTTTACTTCGCCATCAGACTGTGGTGCAGCTGTAACAGCATTAAGCAATATGTTATCCAATGTCCCTTTGACGCAACCATTTCCTGATTGTGAGACGAACTCGGAAGCCAAAATATGGGAATCGTTCGACAGAAAAGCAAAGAGTCTTTCCAATCCAGCAGGAGGATTACACAGTGGGTTGAAACATTATCTTGAATCGGATGTAATCCCCCGCTCTGATAATCCTTTGGTTTATTGGAAAAACAATAAGTCGAATTGGCATCAATTGCATAATTTAGCAATCAAGTACCTTTCTGTCCAAGCAACATCTGTGCCTTGCGAGAGATTATTCTCTAAAACCGGTTCAATTATCACTGATAAACGTAACAAAATCAAGCCAAAGAATGTAAACATGTTATCCTTTTTAGAATCTCTGCCTAACAATTTGATATAATTTGTACTCATAATAACAAGTATTACTCATTGTTACTCAATACTCGATAGTATCGATACTTTTTTTTCGATTACTAATACTTTCGATCAATACTTTTCTCAAGTATCGCGCAACACTAGCAAAGAGTAATAACAAGAGACAGCACTTAATGAAATGTATCGATAAGCTCTTATCTTTCTTATCTTAGGGAAAAGGATGAGATCCAGGTGGAAGCACCAGATTCTCGTAACTTTCTCTTCACAAGGCTCTAATTACCGAATCCGCGACTCGGTAACGTTTTGTACGGAACGAATTGTGCTTCCATCTGGATCTCATCCTTTTCCCTAAGATAAGAAGAGATAAGGAGAGATAAAACCTTATCGATGGTTACATCCAAGTGCTCTCTCTTGCTATTACTCTTTGCCCGTTTTGGGTACAGGTATCGTCATGGTGACGACTCCTCAATACAAAGAGTAATAGCAAGAGAGAGCACTTGGATGTAACCATCGATAAGGTTTTATCTCTCCTTATCTCTTCTTATCTTAGGGAAAAGGATGAGATCCAGGTGGAAGCACAATTCGTTCCGTACAAAACGTTACCGAGTCGCGGATTCGGTAATTAGAGCCTTGTGAAGAGAAAGTTACGAGAATCTGGTGCTTCCACCTGGATCTCATCCTTTTCCCTAAGATAAGAAAGATAAGAGCTTATCGATACATTTCATTAAGTGCTGTCTCTTGTTATTACTCTTTGCCTCAATAGGAGAAGGATCCATTCAGATCCTTTTGGAGCGCTTTTAGAATAATGTAAGTAATGTTGTTTTTTGTTTCATTGTTTTCCTTTATTGTTATTTTCCGATGATTATATCGATGTATGATTACACAAATTATTAATAACATTAGAAACAATCGAGACTATCATGATTAAGTCAATCACAATACCAATCACAACAATATTACAAGAGCCAACTTCCTCCAGTCAAGCTCAATTCGAGCAAAGTTAATCCAACGAGAGGAAAAATTGATTAGAGTTCGTAACGTGTTTTAATAATGGGGAAAAGAAAAAGCCGTTCACCAGCAATTAATTGATCTTCTCCTGATTGTTGGTTAGCCTCTTGGTGAATTTGAGTCCCCCATTTATTTTTAAATCGTGGAAACTGATTAATTATTTTATTGATTGTTTGAATGAATGGATAATTAAGTTGATTATCACACAGTCACAATTAACCTCTTCCTCTCTTAACAAACAATGATAATCTAACCCTGACCAATTGTTTATTTACCAGATCAGTGGCAACAAATTGCAAATTGTTATAACTAAAGCGATTATATTAATAATGATCATACAGTAAATTATCACAATTGGGCTGAGATGTAGGTAAGGTGGTGATGAGGATGCGAAAGAGTCCAAATTAGTTTAAGGGCAGGTAACAAATAATCAAGTTTTTTCTTTTTTAATTTTATTATAGTTAATTCAATCATTCAAGTAATCGTAATTAACGTTTTAATTTTAATTAAAGTTTACATTTAAGTTTGTTTATCTTAGAGATTTTTAATAGCATTTTGGTTGATTCTGATCAATATTCAAATAGGATAATTAGTTTTAATTCATTAATCAATGTATTACAGTGAAATTAATAATTCAAGTAATTACCCTCATTTATACAAGTAATCAATTTTTTGATTTGCCAACTCAATGGAGTGGTTGTAAGTATAATAATAGAGTTAAGATTATTAATATACATCAAATGATCTAGTTCATTGTTAATAAGCAGCTTTTTAACTTCTTCCATATTCCGATGAGGTGAATTACTGGTTAACGTATATTTTATTGAATTAGGTATCAACAGTTCCCATTGGTCTCTTATAATATTTTCAATCGTTTCTTCATTGATTTTTAGCACATGGTAATGATAAAAGGTTCGTGAGATCATTTTCTCGATTCGTTCACTCCATTTAAAGTTCGGATAAATTTTATCGATATTGGGTCGATTTATTCTGCTCATGATTTGATGTTTAGCTGATAATTTGCATGGTGTCTTATGATAGAAGGAAAAAATACTCGACGAGAGAACAATTTTATTACTTTCAATATAATTCAGGGATAACATGTTGTCGTTATGAACTTGGTTTAAAGAATGATTAGTTAAAAATTAAAAATTAATTGATCTTTGAACTTGGCGCTGTTGTATTTATTTGTTGTTTACAATTTTTGTCTTGTTCTTTTAAATCTTTGTTTATACAACAATAACAATGAATTTAATTAGTTTTACGGAATTAAATGCCAATTTAATTGTTTTGGATGTTAAAGATTTGCCTAAGAGAAAAGTTTTAATTGTGAAGAAGAAAAGTGGGATCCAATTTCAGGGTCCTCATGTGATTCGTGCTTCTTTGGATGAGGTAATTGGGGAGATCAATGCTGATTGTTCGGTTGGATACAATTGTTTACGCTTATCTTTTTCTACTGATATGGATCGTGAGCTTTTCAAGACTAGATTTTCAGGAAAAAATGGTTTAATTATGAGTGACCAAAGCTTAATTCGGCCGATGATAAAGATAATTCTTCCACGTGCTAAATTTGAAGATTCATTCGTTTATTCCCGTGATCTAATTTGCGAGCTTATTTCTTCAAATCAGAGTTTGGTTAATTTCCATTTGGATGTTGACTTCATTTTCAAAGGAGAAAAAAATTATTATGTTTTGATGAGTATTGACCGTGAGGTACGAGAGCTATTGGATCAATTCGATAACATTCTTTATTTTCATGATATTTCAGTTTTCTTTGTTGATAATTTAAATATAAGATTATGTAAACACTGTCAAAGGTATGGTCATAACATGAGAAACTGTGAAAAGGAGAGAAGATGTAGTAAATGTCTTCTGGATCATAACAATTTTAAATGTAAGGTGACCAATCCTCATGATCTTCTTTGTGGTGCTTGTGGGAAGACTGTCCATACCTTGCCTTCTCTAAAGTGTCCGGAATTTAAGGAACAAGTTCGAAAGGCTCTCGAGAGGATTGATTATGATTACTCCAAAATTGTACTTGAGAGGGATGAATTTGAAAGAACCGCTTAACAGGATGTGACAAAGAAGTTCAAGATAAAGGCAAAAGGAAAAACAAGAAAAAATAAAAAATTCTCTTTTTGAAGAAGCCATTTTGTTCCTGTGTTACCTTCATTGTATTTGATTTGGTTAAAAAATGCCTCATTTAATTGATATTTATTCTAATTTGTTTTCCGTTTATTTTTATTTACCAAAGTGGTTAGATGTTCCTGATTCTGTGTTAAAGACTGTGATTATTATTGCTAACGAGCATTTAGAGGATGATGTTCATAGTTTTGAGAGAGTCGAGTGTTTAAATGGTTTCAAAATTATTATGAAAATTTCTAGTAAATTTCGCTTTTTTTTGGATTCTATTGATATGATGTTATTCATAAGAGGTGAATTTCTTCCTGTGTTCGATTTTCTCCATGATGACATGATAATTCAACTACCTTTGGATAGTGAAGATTATTTGTTCATCATTGAAAATTATGATGGTATAGAAAAGGTTTACTTGGAAGTGCCTATGATTTTAGACGATAAGTATCAATTTGAAAGTTTTGAGGATAATACTTATCGGTTAATCTTCAAAATTTGAATCGTAAACAAAGAAAGTACATTTCCGGATTAGATCAATTGTAACGCCATCTATTGATGTTGTCGAAAGAATTCCGGAAATGTGATCAGTTTCTCTTTGTTTCTAATTGTGTATAATTCATCAATTCTATTTTCTTTTATTATTTTAAGTTTAATTAATTAATTTCATTTATTTGGTGTATTTTAATAATGGATTCTCTTCAAAATTTAAAAGTTAAAATTCGACCATCAATTATTTAATCGTATTGGATATTGAAGCCTCGGTTGAGGAACCAGATTGCCAACATTAACTTGTTCTTTGAGCGTTTGAAAGAGGATACACTTCTCTTTGCTCTTATTGCTGTTCCTTCTTTGGTTACCATCGAGGGTGATGGAGTTAGAATTAACCTTTATCGAGCTTCAGTCCCTCGCTTACATGAACTGTTAACGAGTAGAAGTTATATTGACTTGCCTATCCAGCGTGAACCAGTTGATAATTTAGAAGTGTTTTTCTACAGGCCAGAAACCGATCTTGATTCGACAGATAAACAAATATGTGATCTTCTCGCCGACTCATTTGGATACCCAATTGAAAGTTTTAGTTATAAGGAGAGTCTAATGTATGGTCATAGGACTTTAATCATTTCCATCGTATCAAGAGAGGTAATGATGGATCTTTTAAAATCAAGTAAGTGAAAAGTTACTTTGTTTTATAATTTAATATCTTAATTATCGTTACAAAAGTGACAATTTGAATTATTCCATTTTTAATCTAAATTTCTTTCGTTTTAACTTCTTTTTTAATTAGAGATGAAAGGTAGTTTATATGAGAAAGACCTTTATCTATTCAATCATTTCGACACTTATCATTGTTGGACTTGTAAGGGACGATTTTCTATTGGTCATGATTGTGGTACCGTGAGATTGTGTTATCTATGTGGAAATCCAGGTCATATTGGAAATTGTCCAAGAGCTCCAATAAATATCAGGTGTACAACTTGTGGTTTACTTCATGAACGAGGGTCCTCTGGTTGTCCCTTACTGATGAAAAAGGTCGTTCGGAAATTAGCCAACACTGATTATACCTTTAATGAGGTATATGTTGACTTACAAACATATTATGTAAAGCTGGTAATTATACATTTTGTTGAAAGCATAAAGGTATTCTTTCGTTTATAATGATAAAATTATTCTCTATTCTTAGGTCATTTTGGTTAACATAATGGAAATTTGGCATTTCAGTGATCTCGAATTGGTTCTCAAACAGATATTCCATCAGCCTCATTTGGTTAAAGAAGTTCGATTTATTAATTCTTATTGCCACTTTACAAAGTTGGTCATCCAGTCTAATGAAGAAGTCACTGGTTTGAAACAACGGGAGATAATTCATATCACCCTTAAGGATAATAAATATTTCATGTTTCATAATCGATATAATAACTTTATCGTTGTAATAGATCATAATTAACCGTATTTTTAAAAGACTTAATGTTAGTTCTTAAATAAAATAATCTGATCCGTAAGAGAAAAATTGATTGTTGATCAACATTATTAAAGAGAGAGAGCAAAGAGTAAGGAGAAAGAGAGATCAGTTAATGATGATGGAGTTGTAGTTAAAACATTTGGATCAGAGGGCGCTGATTGCACTTTTTCAATGGGAAAAGAGAAGAGAAATTGAGGACGATGTGTAAAAAGTGGACTTTTTAATTAAGAGTTGAGACTTTGTGTATTTGTAGGGTCACTAATGACGAGTCCAAATATATATATTTCTTTCTGATCTGATTAGTAGTTTTCGAGAAAATCGAGTTCGAAGTTAAAACTTCAGGTCAATTTTTCTCAGCAACGACGCGTTTTCAGATCATGAAATTTTAAATTGAATGACAACTTTTGATGCTCTTTTTATCAAGCATATTTTTCTCATAAGAAAATTATCCCAAGAGCCTCCGGCCACAGTTCCGTTGTATTGTAACAAATGAACCTTGATTAGTCCCAGTATCAATACTTTAATGTTATTTCAATAAATATTTTCTGAAAGAACATTAAAATTTGATTCTAAATTTGAAATTTCATGACCTGAAAACGCGTCGTTGCTGAGAAAAATTGACCTGAAGTTTTAACTTCGAACTCGATTTTCTCGAAAACTACTAATCAGATCAGAAAGAAATATATATATTTGGACTCGTCATTAGTGACCCTACAAATACACAAAGTCTCAACTCTTAATTAAAAAGTCCACTTTTTACACATCGTCCTCAATTTCTCTTCTCTTTTCCCATTGAAAAAGTGCAATCAGCGCCATCTGATCCAAATGTTTTGCAACTTCTCTTTTCCTCGTAGAGCTGAAGTCTCTTCTTCTTTACTCTTTGAGAGAGAGTGAATGAGAAAATTGTAAACATTAAAATCTTTGGAAATGAAAATGAGAAGATCGATTAGATCGAAAATCTGTTGATTGACATTTCTCTTAATCGATTGTATGAGTTTTTCTTTCTTTTTTCAATCGATTGATCGATTTTGTGAGAATATTTTTTCTTTTATTAATCGATTTTCATTTAACTCGTTAAACTTGAGATTAGATTTGACGTAAAAGTTAATCACGTTCTTGATATTCATTCTTAATTGCTATTGTAATTACTGTAGATGAACTTTATCCATGATCTCAGAAATCTAAAGGACTTTATTCAATTGGATGAACTTTGTCTCCTAATCGATTTAAACTCTGTAAGAGGTTAAATGTTCATTAAACTCTTTAATTACAATCGTCGAATTGTTAATTGTGATTAACTTATGACTTTGGAATAGTTTTTGATTTTTTTGTGACTCTCGTGTGAGAAATTTCATCATGGTTTTCAAATTTGATAGCAAGAGAATAAAATATCATCATGAGAAACATCAAGTTCGTCTGATGATATTAGTTAATTTCGCAATTCGATTTCGTTGTTTACTATTATTCATTTTCTTTCAGAAGAAAAAATAAAATTCAAGGTTTTTTTGTTCTATTAAAAATAGATTCAGAAATTCTAAGTAATTAGTTCTCAATGATAATTATTTTCTCTCAACAAATGATTCCAAAAACTATTTCACAATTGAAACAATTTATAATTCGTTTCTGATTAACCAAAGCGTTCAGTTCGTTATAATGATCAGACGTGAAACAAAATTGATTTGCAAAGTTTTTAATTGTACTGAGAATCAAAATTTTTCGTATAACAATTTGAACTTGTTGTGATTGATTCAACGAGTTGGACTAATATTAAGAAAAACAAATAAAGTTTATTTTTATTGAGAAAATCTCATTGATTTATTACTCCAATAGATTAATTTGATCATCAATTAGTAATGGAAGCCGAGAAAAAGACTTATAAAAACAATGTTTCATGAAATCGAACCCGTAGACAATTGATTCTCGAGGAGTGTCGTATTTGGGCCAACTATCCGGTTCCTTTTCACAATCATAATAGATTTTGATTGATCGATTAGATTTGAGACAGAATTTCGATAAGAAATCAGCTGATTTAACAGTAACTCCAACAGATTCCCTAAAGTCCAATAGTTTTATCTGTGGCAATAGTTTAACCAATTCTTCTACATGACAATCTTCAACCTCTCCAGATCGTCTAATCGCGAGATGATTTAAATTTGGAAATTTGGTTAATAGTTTTCGGATAGATGACCAATTCATGTTATCTATCCATGGCTTTAGATGAAGAAAATAGATATAAGAATCGACTCAATTCAAAGAGTAACTTTTTTCCCGATACTCACAATGTCAATAACCAAATCTCTTAGATTGTAGTTCTTTATGGAAATGTCAATACTTTGGTCATCTGTAGAACCACAAATACAAGCGCTTTCTAAAGACGGGCAATAATCTATCACATTGAATTTGTCACAAGCCTCATCCCATCCTGATACATAAGCTTCAAGAATCTTCAGCTTAGATAAATTTGGACCATTGTAACGTGAACCCCCTGTAGAAATGATTCTTTGATTAATTTAAGATATTGAATCAACACGAATGATTTACCATAGAGACAAATGTGGAGTCGTTTCAAGCTTGGAAAGTATTCTACGTATTCAGGAAGATAATGAACATGAAACCCTTCGAATTGAATTTGTTTCAACTGATCAGGTCGAAAAACTTTCTTAAAGTTAACCATATGGTTCATTGCGATCATTTCGATATGTCTCAAATTGAGCTTACACTTGTTCCGTAATCCAATGACTCCTTTTATTTTCGGATTATTGTTGATCACTTTTCTAAAATGTCTTGGCTTCAATTCATAGTTTTCGACCTCATCAACGACAGTGACAATCTAAAATCATTAAAAACAATATAAATTAATGAACTGTGTTCGTTTTCTATTCGATAATTACCCTGAGATTTGGTAACAATTCTGGTAAATTGTGATGTTTAAGAGTATTTACTGGATCAGTCATCCATATTTTGGAATAGTCAATGTTATCTTCAGGCTTTTCTTGGAAACAATTAAATCATGAAAATTAGTCAGAACTAATTACATGTAAATTAACTTACTTGGAAAAAGATATTTGACCCGTTCAAATCTAATGGAAATTAAACTGGACCATTTCGAACAAACTAAAGAAACAAAAAGAACCAAATTAATTTCTATCTTAACTACAACTCTTATACTTTTACCTTGGGACAATTTGATCAATTCTTCTAATTCAAAAAAATAGTCGAAGATTAGCCAAAGGCAATCATCAGGTAGATCGTTTAACAACATAATTATAATTCACTCAACAGATAAAAGCAATTAACTTATTTTTTGGTAATTTAACAAACAACAAGCAGAAATTGGAATTACTAATTGTTTATTTTTAATTGTTAACTAATTACGCCCAACTTAGACGCAGAGGTTCAGCTGAGAGGATGAAAACGCTTTTTTTTGAATAGTTCAAAAAACTTTTCCAATTGAACATTGGTTATCGCATCCTTCGAGTGATAATAATCTGATTAAGTACAATTGAGAACTTAATTTAACGGGCATTTTTATGGTCTATAGTTGAGGAAGCTCGTTCATACAAGACTTGTAGAAAGATAAAAGCTTTTATTTTAGGATTATCGTAAATTTTATTCATCAATTACGTTGGGAAGAGAGCTAAAAGTTTTATGGAAAAATCATGAAATTGAATCCATAGACAATTGATTCTCGAGGAGTGTCGTATTTTGGCCAGTCATCTGAGTCCTGATCACAATCATAATAGATTTTGATTGATCGATCAGATTTATGACAAAATTTAGACAAGAAATCAGCTCGATCTATCGACAGTTTTCAGATATTCGCGGGCAAAATATCGTTTGTCACTTTCGCTCAAAGGCTGTGAACGTGGGCTTATTTATGGGCAATGGTTGAGGAAAGAACTGGATCACGAAGCTGATCACAGGTCATCGCTTGTGCCGGAATATATTCTTCAAGTCGTCCACCGGGAAAGATTCCATACAATTTGGGTCCCAAGTTTCTCTCAGATAATAACATGAAAATCACTGATTCTAAGAATAAGACTTTTAATTATCTATTTATTATTACGGTCATTTGATCACCGATGAAGTAAATTCACCCAAACACTGCAATAGAAAAACCCTGAAGATGATTAGCTAATATTTAGTAATTTGTTTCTATTTTCAATTGTATAATGTAATCAAATTACATACAATTTAATTGCGTAATATTTTTAATTAAAGGTAAAATTTGATTAATGATACTCATTGGTAAACATTTTCTTTTCAAATTGTTATTTCTTGTTTTGAATTATTACATAAACTTTGGTTAACAATCAACTACAAGGTAAATGTAGTTAATCAATAAATGTTAATAGTCACTTTTAATTGATAATTAAGGAAATAAAGAATCAAGTTCTAAGCGATGATGAGAAAAGATCTAAATATGATTTTCAAGTAATGAAAGAAATGGGAATGCAATTTAAACACCATGAACGAACTAAAGATTTCAATCTAATGAGAGAAACAGTTGAAGATAAAATCCTTTGTCGAAAAATTTTCGGAGATCTGGACAATCCTTTGGCTAAAGGTGAAATATATGTCCATTTTGAGAGGAAAATGGACATAAAAAGATTGAAGAGATTTCTGGTCAACTTAGTATCACCAGGAAATTTTCCTTTGCCATTGAAGAAAATTTGGCAACAATATTCTCTCCATGAAGAAGATAATCTAGGAACCATTGATTGAATATTAGATACAACCGAAGGTAATCATTCAATTAACAGATTCCCAGGTTAACATCTTAGTTATGATCGCACTGGTGTGGCTTAAATTACTGAGCTAATTAATGTAACTAGTTAACTAATTGTTCGGTTTGTTTTGTTGTGTTAGATTAGGTTAGGTGTCACTCGTAAACGGGTTAATTAATGAAAAAAAGGCCCGGAGGGCCTAAGACAATCAAACCAAATTTTACACTGATCGCCTCTCATTGACTAATCTAATTCAAGCCACACCAGTGCGATCATAACTAAGATGTTACCGATTCCCAAGCAACAATATTATTAACATTTTCTTTTCTCGTTTTGTTCATTTAGAAAAAAAAATACATAATCCAGTATTTGGAGATCCTTGAAATCGATTTGACAAACAGAACATTTCGAAAATCCTCCGATTTGATTATCGAATTGGTGAGGTGAAGCTCATTTCTTAATAATCGACTGCATCATTGATGGACAATGAAAGAAGATTTAACTTAAACTCAATTTTTCGGCTCAGATCTCTTAGAATATCAATAAAATGAGTTCAAACTCGATTGACAATTCTATGAATTCGTCAACAAACTCTGTGTGATTTCATATAATCTTCTTCTTCGAGGCAAGTTAATTGGTAATTTATTTTTCTTATCCGATAAATTCTAATATTTATGTTTTTTTGTCAATTTGAATTTTTTGGTTTCTTTTTTATTATAATTAGCGTTGAGTTTTCTAATATTTTTAAATTACATTACTGAGTTTTGGACTATTAGTTTCGTGAAGATGAGACTAAATGTCATGAACTTATTAATAGAATGTGCGAAGTTTGTCAGTGTAGAAGATTATTGTCAAATTGTCCGTGAATTAAAATCTATTTGGTAAGTAAAATCAATCTTTTTTTTTAAGTACATTTTCAGTCGGATTTCTGCAAATTCCCAATAGTCGAAAACAATTTCCGATGAGACTCCATGATTGATACTCCAAAGTGTCCAAAGTAAATGAGATGCTAATGAGTAAGCGTCCGCTTCCCGTAAGATATGATCCTCATTGTCGACTTCTGTTCTTGGTCTCGATCTATCGACAGCCTTCAGATATTCTCGGACAAAATGTCGTCTCTGACTTTCGCTTGGATAATTTTCCGGTTTATGGTAAAAATGAGGCCACTCTTGTGCTGAATAATCATATGTCCATTCAAGGAAATGATTGGCGAAATCAAAACCACGATGATTGTACGAACAATATTCAAAGTCTATGAAGATAACCTTGGGTTCAAGGGTTCGATTGGATCCGTTTGAAGATCCATTGGACCGATTACGATTACGGAAACTACTTGGTGTTGTGGGGATACCAGGAAGCAGAATGTTACCTTCTTGAAGATCATTGTGGCAAAATACTACAGGAGATTGGACAGAAGAGAGGAAACTTTTCAACCAGATAAGTTCATCTTCATAAGGAAAACTGAGGAGTTTCTTGGCGACACATCGATACTCGGTTTAACCATTTTCAGGTCAACTCGACGAGCACTTTCCAACCAAGAGTACATGTTATCGAAAAGCCAAGTAGGCTCTTTGTTAATGGGAACATCAAGACTGTGAACATGGGCTAATTTATGGGCAATGGTTGAGGAAAGAACTGGATCACGAAGCTGATCACAGGTCATCGCTTGTGCCGGAATATATTCTTCAAGTCGTCCACCGGGAAAGATTCCATACAATTTGGGTCCCAAGTTTCTCTCAGATAATAACATGAAAATCACTGATTCTGTCATTTTGTTCTCGTTTTGTGTCGTATCGTCAGAGTGAAGTTGCCCATACATTCTGAGCAATACTTGACTTGGTTCACCACATAAAGGAGTATGAGTTGAGGGTAGAGAACAATAATACAAGATATTACTGAGACCACCACTGATGGAATGAAAGATCATGTCATTGGGCTGAATTTCCTTCCAAGAGCCTGAAAGATATTCTCGACAAATGTTGAAAGCCTTATCACGTAAAGAATCCACATTTAGTGTTGATGTTGACATTATCTTATTTCGGCTATGATAACACAAATATCACTATTGTCTTATCAATAAGAATCGTAATTGTTATTATAAGTTTTAATTCACTTTCAAATTGTTTCAAGTTGAGGCGCGACTCGTTGTTCCAACAGTTTCAACTCTAATGAACTTTAATTTTTTTCAGTTTCTATTTACAATCAATTCTCTCTTTGGATTAATCTGTTTTATTATTAATCTTAGTTAACCCTCTGGGTTTTTTTATCGTTTAATCTTATTCTCTATAAGGTAAGTTAATTGGTTTAATTGTTGACATTTTCTTTTCTTTCTATCTGGTCAATTATTTATATTTACGATTGACTTTTCGTTGATTTATTGCTAATCAATGAGCCGATGGAAGTTTATTGTATCTGATCAGAAAGAAAACTAAAAGTTGCTTTTAAAACGAACGAGCTTTTCTCTGCAGCCAATTACTAATGTAAATAATTGATACTCTCTGGTATCGGTGGTAAAAAACTGTGGCAAGTTCACTGGATATTGAAGATTAATCATCTTGGCAGTTTCCAAATGGAAAATTTAGTTCAGCTTGAGATTGGTTAGGATTATTAAGATAACAAATTGATGAGTTTTTTAATCAAATAAACTCTGTTTAGAAATTAACAAAATCCCAATTAATAATATAATCATTTTGAATATTGCAGTTCACCAATTCATAAGGAAAGGAAATCGTAAAAAGTGATTCCGATTCTGTTACTTGTTTCGCGAATGCTACTATGAGATTCCTCGTTTTAGTTGATTGTTATAACAATAATAATTCATAGACAATTACAATTATGTATTATTTTTGAAAATAAAAGATTAATTTCTCATAAGATTTGATAGCCTCCCATTATATTAACTGGTCTTCCTTTGTATTTCTTGGAAATTTCAGTTTCGATCTGTAGTAGTAAAAAAGAGAAGGAGAAAAAAATTTAGTTTCAAGTTAATTGTTAATCAATCGACTAACTCACTTGTTTCTGCAATTCTTTCGTCCTCTTAATTAACTTGGGAATTTCTGGTGCAAACTTTTCTCCCTGTAATGATTCATCTTTAGCCTTTTCTTGTAACGATTTAGATTTATCAAGAGCTTTATCCGCTAACGAGAGTTTCATTTTCATCTTGTCAGCAGCATTGTCAATGTATTTACGGTCATCTCTCATCATGAAGATCAAATTGGTCTTTTCATTGGTCATCATTTGGAGGATTTTCTGTCCTTGTTTCATTTGGGTTGACAATTTTTCAGCTGTGGTCATTTGTAAAATGTTCGGGGCTCCTTGGAATTGATTTTCAGATAGAACATTTTCCTCCATTTTCATCTCGAAAATACGTTGATCGAAAAATCCTTCAATCTAGTCGATAAATTTACGGAAAAATTTGTTAGATTAAGTGATTAAACAATCGTTCGTATAGTCTATCTACCTCGTGTAGTTCGTTAATCAGATTATTTCTTGTCACCGAGTATTCTAGTAATGTGAGAGCATCCGTTCCTCTGGCAACATGACATAATTCTGATTTATCTTGTAAAGATTCACCGGGTGATATTTCAACAGCTTCGATCTCCCAATTGATATCTCCTTCTTCAATACATTCATCCTGTAAACAAATTGATTGATGAAAAAGATGCTCCAATAAACTAACCCAAACTTTAATCTAACCTTCTCAACATGAACGAAATCTCCATTTCCATTTGATGGACTTGAACTGTCAGTGTCTCGTTCAAATTCAATAACATCATCACCAAAATCAATTACCTATTAATAGAAAATAAAGAAAATTAATATTTGCATTTTTGCGATTCACTCACTTAATTGAATCAACAAGCTTTTACCTGGTCATCTTCTTGGCCTTCTAATTGAGTATTACCAAAATCGATGATTGATTCTTCAATGGTTGTAGGCGCTACTCCATTTTTATATTCGTAAACGGTTGTGTTTCCTTTGGTAATTAAATATTTCAACAAAGGTAAACACGAAATGTTTTCACTGGAAAAAAAATACAGAAGCAATCAAAATATAAGAATATCAATATCGTAGCGATAATTTACCTTCTATGGGTAAACTTGAGGAATTCTTGATAATAATCTCGATTATCTGAAAGTTTTGGAAGCTCCTGTACAAGTTCTTGAACGTATTTTGGCAAATCTTGGATCAATTCTTGGAACTCTTGATGGACATTATCACCCTGTAAGTAATTGGAAAGACAAGAAAAAAAATTGAATACGAAGAAAGAAGAGAACAAATTGAAATTCTATTTAATCACCTTGATTCCAAATTTCTCAGCAAACGCTTTATATTCAGCCTTCAATCTGTTTGCTCGGCTAATACAGTCACTCGATTTTCTCATTAGCTCTTCACTGTTGGCTTGGAATTTGTTCAATTGTTTACGAACTGTTGGCACTTCAAAGTTAACATTTCTATGAAGCATCGATGCGGCCTCAGCTAAGGAAAGTAAATACAAAGAAATAGATCACAATTAACACACTAATTAGCCAAGATAATTGTACGAAAAACATACCCAGGTAGACATCATCTTTTTCATAAAGTCTAACAATCTCTTGCCAATCCTTGACACGTTTAGATGAATAGTAGCCGAAAATGTTTTTCGAATCAGCTTCAGTCTCTTTCAATATTTCAACAATTTGTTTACAGTTAAAGTAATTCAATTCTGTTAGGATAAGAAATAGTAGAATGACGGTTAATGTAAAGGTCACAATCAATTAAAATTTAGAATCACGGCTACTAACGTGTTCCAGCAAGAAGTTGCGTGATCTTGGGATGAGCTGGCATATCTTGAATGGCTTCCAGAATCTTTTCTCTAATTTTATTCAGGTGAACTTGATAATCCTTATTAATATGACGACGAGTAATCAGCCAATCTGAGTTGAAGAAGAAAACGACAATTTACCAGTGAAAATGCAAGAACAATCAAAAAGATAGAGAAAAAAAAAACGAGAACATGAAAAATTAAATTCTAAATATAAAGAGAATAGACAAAAAATAATCCAAATTGTTGGCGAAAATAAAGAAAAACATAATTACCAAGTAATTTGGAAGCATGAATATCAATTGGAACTTCTTCAGACATGTTTGGGTCAATTTAAATTATCACAGAGTAGAAAATAATAATAAAAAATTAATCAACAACAATAAAATGAATCAATTAAAATGAGAGAAACAAAGTAAATAAAAATGTAAACAAAAGTCTAAATGAAAAAATAGAAAGAGGAAAAGAAAGAGAAATAGAAAGAGAAAGAAAGAAATTTGGATTGCGAGAAATGTAAAAGAATTAATTAAATATAAATTATCTATCCGGTTGATTGTTAATTGTGCACGTTGACACGTATAAACTACTACTTGAAGTGAACTAAATTATATCAGATAATTGAAGTAAAAGCGCAACAATTAACATCGAGTTACGTTTGTTTCTGTTGAGACGAACCCTGTTGATCAGCTGTTCTGTTGGTTGGTGAGTAGAAATGAAAACATTTCAATTGTCATTAATTTCATTTCCTCAGTCATTTAGTTGATTATGTGAAGGTAAGTTTAAAGTGATTAATAAAACTATTTAATTGTCGATTAGTTGATCAACAAATGTCTACAAGTTTTTAATTCTCTTCAATATTTTTCTCTTTTCCATTTCCATTTGTTTTTCTTTTTTCTTTTATTCTATTCTAATATTTTCTTTTTCTTCTCTTTTCTTCTTCTCTTTCTTTGTGTTCATCTTTTCTTCTTCCTTCTTGTCTTTTTCTCCATTTTTCTTAGGTACCATATACATTTAACATTCCACGGAGAATATTTATATTTTTCTTTTCCAATTGACTTTTTATTCTTCTCGAGTGTATTTACATTTTCTTCTCAAAGTGACTTTCAAACAGAGAAAAGAAGAGAACATTTTCAATTGTTTTGATTTGTTTTCTTTTTCGTGTGGTCTCTTCTTCTTGATATTTGAAAGGAGGGAGAGAGAGAGAAAAAAGAAAAACAAACAAATTCTCTTCTAATTTATATCTGCGCTGAGACTTTGGTTTTCTTTTTATTCTTTGCTCATCTTTTGCTGGTCTCTATCAACAATAATCATGGATGGTTATGGTAACAATAACAACACTAAAGAGGATATTGGTGATCTTTATCCTCGCCCTGCATCAGCGGGCTGTGTAAATAGTAATTGGTGTTCATCTGATCCATCGTCTAGTCTTTTTGGTTCAAGTAGCGGTGAAAGATTGGAACATCTTGTCAAATCTCGACCTCGTAAACCTAAAACACGAGCTCCAACACGTATTTCAATTATTTCTACCAATACATCGTCGTCGTCTTCATCCTCATCCTCATCATCTTCTTCATCGTCCAGCTTCAATGTTAATAACAAACATTTATCTTCTCCAAATGGTCGTTTAAAAGTTACACCTTCAACTTCAATTTCCACTGGAAGAGGTGTCATTATTTCAGATAAAATCGACGATGGTCTTGATACATTCTTTTGTAAGCCCACTCTCAATGTAACCGAAAGTATCATCACAAAAACCTCAGCAACAGTTGCAACAACAATTCCAAGCGTAAAACTACAGACAACAAATTCAATTCCAAAAATAATGAAGCAAAGTGTTAAACCTCCGCTATCATCAAATGCCAATGTTGATAAATTACAGGAAAAGAGTACAACATCATCCAAATCGCCAACCAAAGCAATTCAAAAGATAATCAAGTCATTTGAGATCAGAGTTAACAGGGAAAGTGTTAAATGATATCTTCTGCTCACTCATTCATCAATTCCAATTATCCTATTCCCTATTACACACACACACACTCTCTCTCTCAATCTCTCTTCCTTTATTTATCTTCATAATCTATTTTCTCTCTCTCATTTCCCTCTTTTTTTCTGTCATTCTTTTTTCCTTGCTAAGTTAACCTCATGATAATTAAAACTCAGTGTCCAGTTTAAGTGAACAATTGTTCACTCATAATGAATGAATATTTCATTCAAATGATTCCACATTAACCAATTGTTTCCTGATGAAACTTCCTGAGGAATTGAATGGAAAAAAAAGTTTTCAAGAGAAAATCACTTTTTACATGGGAAAGAATACAAATCAACAAAAAAAGGAGAGGAAAGATGAAGATTTGCAGTAAAAGTATCAACAAACTCAACAAGCAACAATGTATTCAACAACAATTAAGTTCATTGCATTTACAATTGATCATAATTCCGTTTACCATTTAATATCCTTTCATTTAAACCATTTGATTGGAGTTCATTTTCTTGGGAAAAAAAGTTACTAGTATTCTCATCCCTTTACTTTTGTAATCATCACCACCATCATCATCATCATACCAATAGGATGGTCTTCATGGTTAATTATATTCTACATCCGTGTTAATGATAATTAATGGAATTACAATTAAAACCACAAGTCTACACACCAAAGAAAAGGAAATACGCAAAGAGTCAACATTATGGATAAACAAACGATTACGCAGATAAAAAAAAATTCAGAAGCCAAAGTCCTCCAAATTACATTAGAATCAACTGATTGTCAACAGATAACATTGGATTAAATTTAATTGTTGTTCCTAATTTTCCAGAACCTTGTTAATAAACGTGCGGAGAGAAACTCAAGAGAGAGACAATTGGATGGAGAGAGAAAATGAGTGCAACCCTAATGTCAACAAACAAATATTCTATTCCATGAAAGAGAATCATCAAAGGAAGAAGAAGAAGATGAGGATGAGGATAAATGCAATAAACTAACGTGATGAATGTTGATCTCTAAAAAAGATAACAGTTGATCCAACAAACAAGAGAGACAATCAAGATGAAGAGAGAGAGAGAAGGAAGAGGAAAAAGAATTGGAACTACAAAAAGAATACAACTGAAAGAGTAAATTGTTTATCAATCGAGAGAATTTAAATTGTTAGCACAATATCTGATTACGATAAAAGGCCACTATCAACAAACCTTAAATTCCATTTGATAAATTCTACAATCATAAGTGTGCCAAACAACCCGTGCCAAAGAAATTAAACACTAACACACTTACCTTTCAATTTCTTTTATAATTACCAATCTTTTTCATCGAAATTCTCTTTCCTTATATTCCAACAAATTCTAATTGTTCCTTAATTACGGTTACCCTTCCTTCCGTGACTAGTTAATATTAATCAGCATTTCGATCCGACTTTCACATATCCAATTGTCCTCCTTCTCACTTTCTCCTTCAATTCACTTTTCTATCATTATCATTATCGTATTAATTTCATTTGTTGATTAACTTTTTCTCTCAACAATTAGTTGTCCCCCCAAAACGAAACACCATCAACACCAACAACAACAACAGAATCAACTGAATCTCCTGAATCTCCTGAATTCCCTGTTCTCTTTCATTCCAATTAACATCCATTTACTCAACCATAAACAATAAGAATCATTATAAACCAAATATTTTGCCATCTAATCAACAACAATTAAGTAATTTTCTTTTCCTCTTTCCTTACTAAATTGGATTGATTAATTTGTTTTAATCACTTTCCAATTTTTTTTTAATTGTTCCACAATGTTAAGACCTTTACCTTAATTTCTTTCCGCTTCTTTAATCATTCAACTTTAATTGTTTACCTTTAATCCTTAAATAATTTATTTCTCATTTGGTTAACGATTGGATGATCCATCAAATTTAATTTAAATGGATCACAATTAAGATTCAAACGTTAATTAAGCATAAATTATTATTAATTACTTCAAGTTTATTGTCACCTTAACCTTTAATTGCTTACAATTGTCATAATCAAATCCCAACCAAAACAGAATCATATTTAATCACAGAATCGTATTTTTTTGTGGTAAAATATTTTACAATTAGCTACTGATTAATCAACTAATCACTTTAATCTTAAATGTTCATTTATTACATAATGATGATATTGACAAGCGACAGTGATTAAGACTTCAATTTAATCCCAACAGAATCACCCAAATGTAATTTAAGTACATGTATTTAATTTCCGTTCCAAAATGATATAACAATTAACTCAAACAATTTGCGAAAACAAAAAAGGAAATTGTAATTTCTAATCAAAGAGAAATCAATTAAGGATTAACCTAAACTGGATTAAGATGGTGACAAAGATAAAGCCAAGAAAAGACTCAACAAAATGTTAATTTTGATCAACGATGATTAATTAATTTCCTCCTTAATTAATTAACATAAAATATTTACTGATTTAGATTGTGTATCCAAACTTATTGCTAAATCATTCCTCAACTTATTTTATTTCAATCATTAACTGATTCAGTACAATAATTATAATGCAAAAGAAAAACAAAATAATGATTAACTAATTGTCTGCATAAATAAAATCAACAATTAATTTGTTATGTTCATTTAATTGTGATCAAATATCGGGAAACAAATTATGTAATTACTTGAATGATTTGCTGATAAACAATTTATGTTTAATCATCTTCTTATAATAATTCAGTCAATGACCCCAACAATTAATTCAATTTAATTGTTAATCGTTATTGAAATTTTTTGATTAACTTTCAGAATGATTAATCAAGTGATTAATCAAGTGATTAACAAGTAAATTAGGTGGATTATTTATCCAATTGATTGAGAGGAGGAAAAGAAAAGTTTTTTTTTCTCCCAAAAATTAGAAAACAAATTAAGAATCGAAATTTAATTTAATTTGTATAATTCGCTAATTGTTCACAATTAACATTTGCAACGTTTCACGTTAATTCAATAAGTTATCATTTTAATAATCGGTAAATTGTCTCAACGATTAGCGATCAAGAGATTATCCTTTTTGGTTTGTTTACAATCCACCGCCGCTTCTTTCAACGGTGATCTGTTTGTAACCAGTTTCTCTTTGGTGTTCAAGCTCAACGGCGGCGGCAAAAACGCTCGTTGAAACATCTCCACTTTTCAGTGAGCTCACTAGAAGCAGATATTCACCCAGTTCGACTTGACCGTTTTTGTTGACATCCACCTCACTTAGAAGGCCATGTAACTCCTCTTCGGTGATCTTTTGACCTGAAGCCTGTGGGAAAAAGGAGATTCAAAGTTATTAATATCCAGTTATCAGAATTTATCTCGAGTTTATCAAGTTAATCAGTTACTCTCACTCTCTCCGCATGATGATCTCACTGAGTTTTCACATGATTCGTACTCATGATTTTCAAGGTTTTTTTGATAAACTTTTGATTTTTTTTTCTTCAATGATCATGACGGAAAATCATGTCAACGCAATCGGAATACTCACTTTGAAACTACGCCTTAGATCATTAATACCAATATAGCCTTTCTTTTCTTTATCCATTGAATGAAATTGCTGAGTGTATTTGTTAATCTCTCCAGCGGATAGAGACAAGGGAGAAACTAATTTAACTTGTCTATTTGCATTCTGTCCCATTTCAGTGTGTAAAAATTCAACGGCCTTTTCGTATTGGACTTGAGCTTCTTTTTTACTCCATTTTAATTCTGAGGTCATGATTTCGATTATCTTTGGTAGAACTTCTTGAGCAGCTTCTACATTAAGAAATGAGAGACGAAGTCGACGAGCGATTACGTCAACAGCGGTACATGCATATTCTCTGATTGCAAATCGAACCTCAGCATTGATGTAAGGAAATTCGGGATGAAGACGATTACCAACAACGGGCCATCGTCTACCAGTTAACTCGGCTAATTTAGCCACGGCGAATGCTCTGTCTCCGTAAGTGTTTGCAAGATGATTAGCAACCTCAGGTTCTAATCCATAATCTTGAACAAGTCGGATGAACATTGTTGGTGACCATTCAGATGCTCCTTCCAAAAGTAATCCATCAGTCGCTGATTCAGATAAAGGTTTAAGTCGATCAGGGAATCTTTTAACTGCTTCATCAATGGTTTCCTTTGCCATTGATCGATAAGTTGTCCATTTACCACCAGCGATTGTCACTAATCCGGAATCACTAACATCGATGATGTGATTCCGAGCAATTGACTCGGTGTTACCCTTAGATGGATCAAGAACCAATGGACGAATACCCGACCAAGCGGACATTACATCTCCTCTTCTCACATTTACATCAGAATTTAAATATTTTTTAATTTCTTGTAAAATGAACTGAATATCAGCCTCGGATGGTGATGGATTCCTGCTAACTTCACATGGAGTGTCAGTTGTTCCCGCGATCGTGAACTTTTGCCATGGAAGGAAAAAGATAACTCGACCGTCTGATGTTGATGGATCCAAAAGACCCATGCTACTTGGTGAATAATAACCAGGTAAAGTGATGTGAACTCCAGCTGAGGGTTGACAAATTAATCGCTGATTAGGATTATCCATTCTTCTAATAGAATCAGTGAAAGGTCCGGTAGCGTTAATGATAACCTTAGCATTTACTTTCCATTCTTCACCAGTAATGTTATCTTTAAGTTTAGCACCGCAAAGTTGACCATTCGCATCTTTCACTAATTCGGTGACACCAACATGATTTGCACAATTGGCTCCATATCGAATTGCTGTTAAAATAAGAGCCAAATTCATTCGAGCATCGTTATGTTGACCATCATAGTAGACAAGAGCTCCACAAAGTTTTTCCTTCTTTAACATGGGAAAATGTTCAAGTGCCCTTTTCTTTGAAAGAAAATAACTCGACTTGACATTTTTACTTCCAGCTACAAAATCGTAAGCCTTAATACCGACCCAATAATAAGGAACCAGCCACCAATGATACACTGGAAGCATAATGGGAAATGGATAAGATAAATGTGGAGCAATGTCCAATAGGTTAGCTCTTTCATGAAGAGCTTCCTTGACCATTCGATATTGATCATAATCGAGACGAAGAATAGCCTTCTGAAGATAACGAACACCTCCATGGATTAATTTAGTTGATCGGCTACTTGTTCCAGATGAAAAATCATCCATCTCAACGAGAGCTGTTTTCAATCCTCTAGTAACAGAATCTAAAGCGACACCAGAACCAGTTGCACCTCCGCCGATAACCAGAATATCATATTCTGAGGTTTCTTTAAGCGCTCTGATGTGATCTGCTCGTGAGGGTAATCCTTTGGTTGAGATCATCTTCAAGTGAGCCGGAGGCTTTGGTGCTTCAGCCGAAAGACTCTGAGCATCAAAAAAAAAGAGACCAAAGAAAAAGTTGAAAAATCAAGAACAACAAAACGATAATTAAACCAATTAATGAAAACAAACCTCTGAAAGATAATGTTGACCAGTGTAAGTGGCCAGACCTAAGCCCCCAGACCATAACACTATCCGTCTCAAAGTCCACGAAGTAAAAGTCATTTTGATGATTAAGTAAAATAATTAATTGATTTCACCTTTTCTCGATGTAGTAAAAAACAAAACAAGAAGAAGAGAGAAAAACAAATTGTGTTAATTAAAAAGCAGAAAGAAACAATTCCAATGATCAACTGATCATGAAACACTTTCACTGAAGGAAAAAAACATCAATTGAGATTAATGAAAGCCAAGGGCAAAAAGAGGTTATCACTTACCTGTTATGATTAAATTAACAAATTAAAAAGGTTATCAATTAGATTTCGGTATCTCTATTTAATAATAGAGCAAATAATTAAGATGAACAATTAATCCATCACCACGAGGTAACAATAAATACAGTTATTATTGATATTCAATGAAAAATATCCAATCGCTTATAAGGTTAAGTGTTGTTGTTGTTGTTGTGATGATGATGAAGATGATGAGGATGATGAGGTTAATTGTACTTTCTTTTGGTGTCAATGGAGGAGAAACTCACCAGTGGTGATAATACTGATGACACTTGGAACACAGATTAATTGATTGCGACCCAATAATCGACAATTAACTAGAATTAACAATTTGATCAGAAAGAAAAACCAAAATCTAATCCACTGGAAAAGAGAGACAACAGAAAAAGAAAGGGAAAAATTGATTCTCTGTCTATTTTACTTTCTCTTTCTTTTTCTCTCTCTCTCTCTCTTAATTTAACCTTCTCTTTCATTGATGATACATTAATAGATGTCACTAGTTAAATCAACATCGTAATTGTAGCTGAACAATTTAAATGAACAAAGTAATTAAGGTTGGATCAAGTAACGGAAATGTTAACAGTTTTATTGGGAAAAATAAACAATAATGAGAAACTTTTAATTTGAAAGAAACACAATTGATTCAGATTTGGATTCAATTTGATTGGATTAAAGGATTAACTTAATCCGTTTGTTGTGTAACATTTTCTCATTCATTTGAATACAGATTAGGATTAGGATTAAATTGATGATCGTGATAATCAGTGAAAAAAAAAGATTCTCTATCAAATTGATGATGAGCGATAATTAAAAATAGGCAATTTTCATTCTCGTGATCAGTTGAAATTAATTAATTTACAATTAGAATCTAAATTAATATAAACAGAAAAAGAGAGATTTTGTTTTTCTCTAATCATTATCATCCCTTTTAATATTATACAACAGGTTAATAAGGTTTTCTTAATTGTTGGGAACCTTGAGCATCGCTCAAAGCATCACAATTAAATTAATCATCATCATCCATTTAAATAACCCATCCAACCACTCATAAGGTTTTCCCCAATCGTTATAATCATCATTTAATTGAAACAATTATAATTATTGAATCGGCGATGAAAAGTTTTAAGTTTCTCGCTTAATCAACTACAATTTAACATGTTTGGGAAAAGATTATCCTGAGTTTTTAATTCAATGATTTTCAGTTGGTGATAATGATTAAAAATGGCCGCTAATCACCTAAATAGTTAATCGTTTGCATATAAAATTAGTCCAATACCCGGAAATGTACTTTCGATTTTTCAATTTTCTCTCAAAAAATTATCGAAACTTTTTTCTCAACTCAACCTTTTTATGTCTCATCTTGTTGTTGTCGATTTTTTAATCTCCATCATCATCAACAATTAACAGTATTGTGAGTGATTTAAGTGACTAATTTAATCATCTTCATCTTAATCCTTCTTCTTCCTCATCACTTCATCGAAAAATTCTTGACACTTACAAACTAATAATGGACTTTTCGAGTTTCGTTTACAAACTGATAACTCGAGATGATTAAAGTTAATTGTTATTTTAATCTATTGGCTATTTGGTGTCATTGAACTCGGTCATTGCCATTAATAATCCATAATCAAAGTTAATCAATTTGATTAATAAAAAAAAAGAGAAACTTTCATTTATCAAAATATCACTTTTTCTGTTGTTAATTTAAACTCACAATTAACTTTCACCTTCTAAATCAACATTTAATTTGGTTTATTTCTTGTTCATCAACTAATTGTATCCATTGTTTAATCATGAAAATTTATCCTAATTTATTCAATTTAATTTTAATTGTGACTATTAATAAATTGCACTCACCTTTAACAATCATTGTCATTGTTTATCAATAATTTACTATTTTAATCATCAATATATTTACAATTTGATTAACAATATAAATATTAGTTAATCATATTTGATTTCCAACATAATAAATTAGGTTAACCGTTAAAAAAAAATGATAATCAGTTTTGTCAATCAACAATTATAATCTAATTGTGATCAACTTTGTTTGCATTATAATTTTGATTGATAATCAATGTTAAACTATTATTATAATGATAACAATTAACAAATAATTAATACTTTTCCAATGGCAATGAACTGATATGAATAAAATACAAGAGGAAAAATGAAGTTTAATCAACGATCAACAATCAATTGATTAATCAGATGATTAGAAAATGATAAATGAAGAAAATGCAATAATACAATCAATTTAATCATCATCAGTAAATCGCAATTAATGAGATAATTAAATATTCAAATATAATCAGAGAAAGAGAGAGAAGAAACTTTGTTATTTCGAATTTTTTTTAAAAAAGTTTCTCGCTTTTTCGGACGGTTGATTAATTATCGAACTTAAATTTGTTGTCTTCGTCAAGGTAAACGAAAATAAAATTTCTCGAATTTCAATTCTCAAGTTCTGATTCACCAATTAACCGATAAATTGAGTTAATCATGTTTACGGAAGGCGGAAAGGATTACGATGTTAATGAACTCTCATGAGAAGTTAATTTCATTTCAATTAAGTAGAAAGCTAAAAGTTTAAATAAACTTTTCCATTTCGATTGTAACCTTTGTTCCGGACTGAAACCGGGAACTGAACTTTTCTGAATAAAGTTCGTTATGTTGTTGTCACAACGAAGGACGAATTAAATTGTTGGTACAGAAAAAGAGACTCGATTCAATCATAAATAGAATCACGAGTTTCATTTAGAAGTTAAATTTAATTTTCGACTGTTAAACTTAACACTTAACGGGAAACTTTTTCTTTCTCTTTCTCGACTTTCCGATTACGATTAAATCGTGGAAATTAATTTTCTGCTAATCAATTAGTTTATCTTTTCTCATCTTTCATTGATATTCGCTCATTTCTCTATCAGTGATACTCGATACTTGATTCGTGTCAATACTCATATTTATGCAAATCAGTTCGAAGCGACAAAACGACATCTCCCTTTCTCTCTCTCTCAAAAGTTCGTAGGATTTTTCTATTGATTGAGTTGATTTAACATTTCGATTAGAATAGAACTTGATTAATCATTCGAAATGAGCTTAATTATGTTAAACGTTGCAATGAACTTTTCAGTTGAGTTAATGGACAAGTAAAACTTTAAATTTTGTTCTATTTAATTTCCAATTAACGATTAACATGACAGATTAGGATTCGTACAAATGAAAAGGGTTGTTAACATTATCCAATTAATGATAAATTGTTTATGAATTATTCAAGGTTAATTGTGAAATCGTTAACTGACCAAAATGATTACGCTAATTTTAAATATTGGTTAAATTGTTTACCATCAAACTGATAGGTAACTCTCATTGAATGAACATTGGGTGTGATCGTTGATGGTCAACAATCAGTAAGGTCACTTTTTTGATAGAGGAAAAGGTAAATGATGATGATGATGATGATGGAGAAGATGAAGATGATGAAGAAGATGAAGAAGATGGAGATAATGAAAGGTGAATAATAAATGGCGGTCAAAAGGTAAGTTAATCTGAGAATAGAAATTAGATCAAACTCGAAAATAAACTTGATGTTGTCTCTTTAATGGTTATCATCATTATCATCAAATTTGTTGATTGTTGTTTTATTATTATCATTATTATCTATTGAATATAATGTATTAATACAATGGGAAACCCGTGCGAGAACAAAAAACTTTGAATGATTTTTAATGATCCTTCAAAATGATCATCATGATGATTAAATTGTTTGAAATCATTGAGTTATTTTTAATATTATTGTGCATCTGATGATGATTTAAATTGATTTTCACGTTCCATATCATTTGAATATGATTAACAGTATCTTAATTGTCATTTTCCACCACCACTAATCCAATCTAATTGTCAAAATTAACTTGCACTAATTGGATCAAAACTTTTAGTGATCTAATAAGATAATTATTCTTGTTTACTCATTGATTGTGATTAACTTTCACTTTTTCTTTTTGCTAATTATTTATATCATATTTCAATTGGAATTAGTAAATTGCTACTTTACTTGTCAATTCAATTTCCTTGATTATTATTATTATTATTATCATTTCTTAATCCAGTTTCCAAGGTTACATGTAATCGTTATGTTTATCAATCAACAGTTAATCAAGGAAGTAAACATGAACTTGGTTTTCCAATCAACAATCAACCAATACCATTAGTTAATTGTAAGAAATTAAAACGTTTATATTTACAGTAAAGAATCATTATTAATATTGATGAGAAAAAAAAAGTTTCATCTTAATTTGATTGTACAATTAGGAAAAGTTAATGAGTTGAAAACTTATCTAATTGTTATTGTAACTATTATAATCATGTTTGAATAAATTTAATTGTATTCATTGATAATTATCATTCTGATTATCACGAATTATCAAAAATAATCACAATCATCTTGAAAATGATCATCAATGATGATGAAATTAGCAACATGAAAAAAAACTTTTATTATCCAAAAAAAAGTTTATCTTTTGACCTGAAAAAAAAATTAGATTTAAAATGTTATTTAAATAACACAATAAAGGTCAAGGGGATGGTCAGCTGAATGAAAGTAACCATTTAACCTTAACAGTTGCCCAATTGTAAATTATAAGATTGACCTTAAGGCCTTCGTGAAGTTTGTAAGAATTGGGGATCGGTGAGTTTTTCTTTACGAGTTTCGAGTTCCAAGAAATTTGAACGAATAACAATAAGATGTAATTCCGAGAAATTTTCTGGTTCTACTTTTCTTTTCTAACCATAGGAGTTTCTCCCTAATCGTAATTTGTGATGTTCCAGGTTCATATTAATAATAATGAGAATAATAATTTATAATCTTAGGCCTGAGGAAGAAAATATGAGAAAGGAAATAGCGAGAGAAAGATGATATCGGAGAGAGAGAGAGAGAGAGAGATAGAAGATGATAAATTATGAATTATGGCGAGAAAAGTTCATTCCAAACATGGTGATTCAATGTCGATGATAATATTTGTTCAAAGTTGATATTATGTTGTTATTTTGTGTTTATCTTCATAGTCTATCTCTCTCTCTCTCTCTCTCTCTCTCTCTCTCTCTCTCTCTCTCTCTCTCTGTCTATTAATTTGCAAGACAGAATTAGACAGAGAGGGAGAGAAAGAGAGGATCATCAATGCGGAAGTTGTGCCTTGAAAAGATGAAGAAACTTTCTCTCTCATTTTCATTTTCTCTTTCGAGTTTTTCTCTCTTTTCTCTTTCTTTGCCGTCTTTTTTTTGATTTTGCTCTCTTTCTCTTTCTGCTTTTGACATGAATTGAGTTCAATGACCCTTGAGAGAGAGACAGAGAGAGAGAGAGAGAGAGAAAATGATGATGATCATGGTGAGAGAGAAGAAAGAGAGAGAGAGAGTGAGAGAGAACGATCTCTTCCAATTGTAATTGGGAAAAAAGATTCTGGTTCTAAACCATTTTTCCAAAAAAATTGGTTAATTTTTCGTGGGTCCAACCCTTCAATTCATCTTAACCCTTTTCTTTTGTAATCAGTGATTAGTTGATTGTCTCTTAATTGTTGTGTTTATTTAAATGTTTTTCCCATCAAAATATTAAATTTCTTTTGTGTCAATTAACTTTGAATCTTTGATTTCTCAACAATTGAAATCTATTCAATTCTCATAGTAAACACATAGAAAAAGTTAAAGGAAAGACAAACAATTAACACAATTAAAAGAAACATTGAAAAAATAACATTGAAGAGCATTGACTTTATCAATGAAGTATAGTCAGGTTAGTACGTTTCAATTAACTGTAATAATCAAAATCATTTGTAACAATCAGAACGATATGAATTGTCACCATCCAAATTTACCACAATCAATTCATCACCCATGTCACCATTTTATTGACAATTAACTTTAATCATCTTGCCTGTGATTAGTTTTCCTCTTTGTTGACAACACCTTAAGGCCTAAAGACCTTCACAAATATTATGTTTAATATTCACCACTTTTTGATTAAGGTGTCAATTAAGGGCTTCAATTAATCCAGTTTATTAATTAAGTTGTAGTTGTCAATTGACTTGTAACAATCAAGGATAGATTAATAATCATCATCATAATTAATTAGTGTTTAATGTTGGTCAAGTTTGGGTCTCATCAAAAATGTATCAGGTTTTTACTCATTGAAATTTATCAATTCAATTGTTGTCAATCAATTAACCAGGAAGTAGATTGTTGATTAATGTGTAACCATCAGGGTACTTAATTGTGTTTTCTGTGTTAATTGTTTCTAGGTTAAAACAGTAAACAAATTAATTAGATTCACTGAGAGAGAGAAAGAAGAAAAAAATTACAATTAAAGGTCGTTGTAAGGTTAACATAAACATGGAAATAAGAGTTTAATTCTGGATAATTAATGTGAACAATTAACTTTTTCTACAATTACAATGGTGTAGTAATCAAAGGTGTAGTTAATTGTAAGAAATGAATTAAAAATGAGCCACTAATTAACTAAAAGGATGCGAAAGATGATTAAATGAGACAAGAAAAAAAAGAAACATTTAATTGTAAGCAAAACCCAAACAACGAAAACCGCGAAAATTGAAAAAAGAAATGTTCGAACCTCGAATTATATTAAATTTGAACGATACAAGAAAAAAAAAGAGAAACTAATTTAGTAATCAAATGATTAATTGTTACTAAATTACTGAATTGTGTAAGAAGAAACTAATTGGAACCTTAAATCAAGTTGATTAACGTTAGAAATCAATTGGATTATTTGTTCACAACTCGTTCTTCATGACAACAACAACAATCGATTTAATTATAACGGTAAATTATTATTATTAGATCCAAGTTACTTTCCATTCTATTTGCAGATGATGATAGGGAGTAGTTTTTCAGGTTTCTCTCTCATTTCTCTTCTCTCCCTCATCCACTTTTTATCATCAACGTTTCTTTTTACCTGTTAAACCAATGACTGAGTTTTTTATATTTCATCATGAAAAATGATGAAGAGAGAGAGAGAGAGAGAGACTGTAACTGTATATATTATTGTTGTAATAAATAGAAAGATAATGAAAGGAAGATAAAGGAAGAAGAGAGAGAGAGAGAGAGTGAGCTAGTGAGAGAGATTTGGTTGCGGTTTTCAAGTTAACTTTCTCTCTCATTTATCATCATCATTTCATCTTTATCTTCATCTTTTTCTGCTCTCACTTGTGCTTGATACCTTACAAGATATGCTACGGCTTCTTAACTTTCTCTCTCTCCCTCTCCCTAATTCTCACTCTCACTAACTCACTCAGGTTTACTTGACCATCATCATCATCTTCATAATCATCATTTTCAAAAATTCTCCTCTATCGTTATCTTGGCATTGCCATTGACGCTTCGAACTCAAATAAAACCATTAAAATAGTTTTTTCGTTTTATTCTTGAATCTATTTCGTTAATAAACAAACAAAATCGATTTTCATTCATACAATTCAAACTCTCTCATTGACTGACTACATTTTCTTTTTGCTAAATTGTTTACATTTTCTCATCAACGATAATCAGTTAAATTTTGTTTCTCTTCTTCTAATTATGATCGGATTTCAGTGTCCAGCGACAGTCCAGCCCGTCTTCGGTCGGACTCCATTGTTCCCCGCATCACCTCAACAACCAAGTTCCCCTTCACCAGGCTACCAGGCCAGACAATCATCACTTTCACCACCAAATCTACTTGATTATTTTCCTGGTTTAGCTGGAGATGGATTAAGACTTAATTGGGCTCATGCAGCTAACAGTCGTTCGCTTCTTAATCAAGCTTTAATGGGTAAGTAATTAATTTAGTAATTGTCTCAATGGCCAATAAAAGTATTAAAACTTCATTCACTCAGAAAAAAGTTAAACAGTTACAATGAATTCACATCAAATTGATAAGTCAAACTGGTGATGATTTATGTTGATCAATGAAAGATTTTTATATATAAATGTCATTTTACAGAACCGACACAATCAGTTAATTGTTGTTGATTAAGTATTTCTATTAACTGATTCGCGAAAAAAGTTTATGGTTACAAAATCGAAAGTGATCCCTTTAGATTCTCATCCTTTTACCATTTTGACGAGATTTTTGTGATATTATATTCGGATTGTAACTGTTTGGCCCGAAATAAGCGCCGTTATTTACTCCTGGTTGAATGTTGGTGTTAATTCCGGTTATGATTCCACCATTGGAGTAATCGTTATAATCTCCGTTACCCAAAGTGTCAGTTGGTTGACAATTAACATCACTTTGTTCAAATCGTAACCGGAAGCCACTTTTAGCCTCATAATTATCGTTTCCTGTGAATGTGCGACCTGGTCCAGAATGGAAACGTAATACAATCGGCCCATTTGCCTTTGTTACCAATGGTGCGGTCACTTCTCGTCCCTCTAGATAGTTAAGGACACCTCCACAATACCTATCAAAGGTACGACCATCGCCAGTTCTTGATGATCCAGGAATCATTAGATAATCAGTAGTACACTGATTATCCCCAACAGCGGATAGTTGTTGATTATTACCATCAGAACGAGTGATTGACCAATCACCTGGAGCAGAGGTAAATGTAACCCTACAAGTATTGGACATCCTTTCAATACAAATTGCATAATCTAAATTGTTAAGATATTGTCCAAAGTTGAAACTCTCAATGACACCCGAAGATGTAGTAAAGTATTGAAGGCAACCCGGCGGAGCTGGAACTGAGACCTTTAGTTCTGCTCGTGGAGAAAATAATTGCCGACGAAGACGTGTTCGAGAACCAATTCCACCAGAGACACTTCCACTTCCGGTTATCTCTTGAATACATTGAATTTGAGTCGCACGGATATGCCACCGATAACCACCATTACCATTGGTCATAAATAGCAAAGAAGCTGACCTTTCCTTTTCACCCTGGGGAGGTTAACATAAACTGCGTCGATATTGAACCGAAAATAACGGAAAATTAGATTAGAGAGGAAGTGTTTTTCTTTATCGACCAAATAAATGATCAATTATCGATTATATCTAATCGATTGGAATAACAATTAACTATACTCACAGTGTTGATTACGGTTTAATCCACAAAGAGTGGGGATACTTGTAGTCGCTAGTCCGGTCGCTGAAACGGAAAACTTATCACCAAGACATTCACCGTTAGTCGGTGGGTCTAATTGTAAATCGAGAAGGTCCAAACGAATCTGGCAAACGTTGGGATCTTTAATCTCAATGGTTAAATCACAGTAATTAGGTTGAGTGTCAATCGATGGATATGATGGATTTTAAAGTAGACAACCTTTTGTGAGGTTGTATTATGACAGGAACGGGAAATGATGCAACAAGTCCCATAACCTTTGGCACATGAAGCAGTTCCAACTCCTCCGTAGGCCTTACACTCAGCTGAAGTGTAACAGGTTCCACTTTGATTGGAGGCATCGAAACATTCATCATTAGGAAAGGTCACAATGTGAAACAATGAAGGACGAAACAAAGATGGCCTTAAAAGACGAGCCCGATCACTATTCTCGTCCATCTTGGTTGATGTATGATAACCATTGGGTGAATTTTGAGTTATATTAACAATAGATTGTTGTTGTTGTTGGTAGTTAGTTAATTGTTCAAAGTTAAATTGACAATCAACCCAATTGAAGGAAACAAGGACAATTGGGACAAAGGCCAAAATCACGGGATAGGTTTTCATAGTTAATTTTACTTTGGACCTTCTCGAGTCAAACGATGTCTTTCAGATCAACTTTATATTTGATTTAACTTTCTTGTGATCGCTCATAATTGTTAGTTAATTGTGATCACTGCCCCGGGAAAACCTAATGTTTATCTCACTCTCTTACCAATCGCTCACTAAATTGTAATTGTTGTTAAATTGTGTTGGCCTGATTTCTCTTTCTCTTAATTTCATCATTTTGATTCGTCTATTTAAAATATTATCACTCTGATTATTTACTATTAACAACAATTAATATCATAATAAAGAGGTTACTAGCTTTTGATTGTTTAGGATTAAGTTTACATGTAAATATTTGTTAATTGTTATAAACGATATTTATATTTAACTGAATTAACATTAAATATAAGAAATTTTTTCATCTTCTCAGGTTAATCATAAAATTAGGTGATCAAGAACAGTTAATGGTTCCAATGTAATAGTTAATTGTTGAGCTATTTTTACCTTGTTAACAAGTCAATGTGAAAACAGAAACGTTGATTATTTGATGAGTATAAATTACTAACAATTAATTTAATTGTTTGTTCAATCTCCTTTTTTGCCTTTTTCTCAATACCATGGTTACTAAATCAGCGAAAGGTTTTTGTTAATTTAAAACCGGTTCAATTGTGATTCGTTTGGTGACAAATAATCAACTTGATTGATTAAAAGGGTTGTAAGTTAATCAGTTAATCATTTCATCATTTTATTGTAAATCTATTGTCCAGTGATTAAGAAATAATTACAATTTAAATTGTCAATATTGTGACCATTCAAATGATGTCAATTTTGATTAATATTATTTTTAAATTGTAATCGTTTTGATTGTCAAGGGAAACTGATTTTTAACAATTAATTGTCTCTAGAAGGGTAAAATAATCAAATCAAATCAAATCATAATCAAAGAGAGCAATCAACTGATCAATGAAAACAAAATGATTTGAAAGTTATGTTGATTATGAACAAACAATTAACCGGAATTAACTTTTTCCTGGACAATGATTATTATGAAAATTGAAATAATTAAATTTCAACTCAACTAATTTTAAAATTATCAATTAATTGTTGACTATCCTGTTGAGCGATTGAAATTAATTATCATTATTTTTATTGGTAAATTAACTTTCAAGTTGATTAAGATTTTTGGTTATACAAATTAATCTAAACAAAAGCAATTAAGTTTAAATTGAAGATCTAAACTAATTGTTGTCGATTTGCTTCATTGATTCAATTCTTTCACATCTACAATTAACTTTTTCCTCTTCGAAACTTTATAAACTTATATTAGTTAGAACTCGATGAATTGGTCAAAAGTTCGTACTGACGATTATGCTAAAAAAGGAAAAGTGAAATTGAATTTAACTTTTTCTTTCTTTAATCATAACAATTTAAAAATAACATTTTCCATTATCAGGTTAACAATGACAATTTAATTTACTATTAATAATGATAATTGATATAAACGGAAAATTATCATTCACATTATGATTGTTAATTATTGTGATAAAAATAAATTGTAACTTTAATCCTTTCGAGTGAAAAGAAAGTCCAATTGTTAAAAAACATCAATTGAAACATTGTATCAATACAAACTTTTTAATTGTGAGTGTTGATTCATTTTTTTACTTTAATTGTTAGGTGACAATTTAATGATCGAAGCCGATGTCACTCTAGCGGAAACCACTCGTTATCCAATTCCAATAATGTCCCATCAACCAAGTCACATGTCGGACATCACATTGGAAGATTGGTTGATTGATGTTGTCCGTTCGGAGACTGGTAAAGGCGTTAAACTGGACTTTAAGAATACAAGAGTCGTCGAACCGGCATTTCGAGTCCTTGCCCGACACGCTGAGTTCATCAAAGGTCCACTGATATTAAATGCTGATATACTTCCAGGTAATTAGTTTATGCTAATTGGATGATAAAAGTAACAGTAACTTTATTATTATAATAAATGATTAGAACTTTTTTTTTCTTTTGATATCGAACTTTGATCTTATCATGATCACGTTGAATTCGTTGAGTTACTGAACTTTTATTATCGATTTTCTATTTTTTTCCACTTCCACTATTAACATAATCAATACACTATCTCTATTTAATATCCTATTGATTGTAAGCTTAATTGTTGTTTCTCTTTACTAAATTAAAGTTGATTTTCTTTTTTTCCCCTCAGGATATAAATCATCGGTCAGTCCAGTTGACCCATGGACTTTTTTAATGTTATGCCGAACTCGATTTCCTAAGTCAATAATATCCATTGGATGGACAACCGAATCAGATGATATCTCAATGAAAACTGGTTACACCATGGAAATGGTTGACCAAATGGCTTCACTGGTCAAGGAATACAGTTTAATTCAACCTGTAACCTTCCCAATAAACGCAAGCCTATTGAAAGCCTCGCTCGGTGAACTACAACGATTACTTTTCCAGGTAAATTTACCTTTAAACATCCCCTTTAGTTAACAATACAATTGACCACAAAGGTCAATGGTATAATATCAAGGCGATGACCTTACCCTTAGGGCCATTGATGTAAACGGATTTCCAAGAAACACTTACTGACCCCCATTGACCAAATGGTCTCATAAATAAGCCAATGCCAAGCTCACAATCAACCCTGAGAAATTAACAACAAACAATCAAGGGTTTAGTCAATGTAACAATTATTGTATTATTAATATTTCGGGGAAAAAATAAGAGATCAACAATTAGTTAATTACCTGATTATATTATCATTATTTTCATCGTCTTAATTTTTACTTTAATGATCAATAATTTATAACCTCTATTTGATTGTTACCATAATATTGATTGTAATTTACGATCAACTAATTATAATGTATGTAATTAAGTCGATTGGTAAACACTTAACACTTTCAACCTTAATCTGATCAACTATTAATAGATTTGAACAATTTATTTTATCCGTTTAATTTAGATTAATTTGAATATAATTAACACTTTTACAAACTTATTGATTTTTATGGTAAAAAGTAATTGGAAGTGGATTAAGTTTTGCTATTAGATGATTAATTCATTTGACACTTGATTTAGTTTTATTTGTTTCTTGTTTCTCGATAACAATCAACTGATTGTCTTTGTCTTTAATTTAATCAACAGGTTCCAAACAGTAGCTTGACATTGTGGGCTCATCCTGGTGATCCAGTTTCGTTGGAGGATTTGTTAATTTACCGAAAAAACTTTTCACCAAATCAAATCTTTTACGATTTACCTGAACCTTTACTTACTATGATTCGTACCCATGTCTATCGACGTTAATCATCACCTTAATCATCTTTAATCATCATCATTTCAATCATCCTCATCATCACCAATTTCATTTTACCTTTACCTTTTACCTGTTATTTCAAAATCTAATTACTCGCAATCCAATCAATCATCAATCGACGAATCAACTTATCAGTCTAATCATAATCATTTAGCATTAAGGAGAAGCCATTGGAAGTTAATTCTTACTTTGGATGATTAAGATGATCAATTTAATCATCTCTCTCTCTCCTTTTCATTAATCTGATGATTATCAAAAATTATCATTTACTATTAATATTATTCTGATATCTAAATCAAATTCAATTGGAGTAACAAGATGATAACAATTCACTTATATAATCAACTGATTTCGTAAAAACTTGATTTAGTTACGATTAAGTTGATTATCTTTTTTATTATTATAAATCGTTCATTTGGAAAGTCAAGTTAAATTGGTGAAGACTAATTGTTACCCCACAATTAACTTAATTGTGTTTGTTTGTGCCTGAAAGTGTGTGCCTAAGAATTGAAACAGAATTGGAAATTAATTAATTCTGTTTAAAGTGAATGATTAAAAAGGAAATTGAAGACAAAGAAAAAAAAATTAGCGAAAAAGTTAATCCAACAATTAATTATTCGTTAATCATCATCATGATCAACTTAATTTTAACTCTAATTATCCTCATTATCATTGACAATTTAACAATGATAATTATATAATTAACTTGCCTCTGGAAAAATCTTTGTGATGTTTTTTTTTCTCAATCAAATTTTTAATCATAATCAATCATTTTAAATTGTTCTTACCTTTTTTTTTAATTACCTTGATTATTTACTCTTAATCATGTTATATTTCACCACTGATTTAGTTTAAATCACTTTGAACCTTTTTTTTTGCTACACAAACTTAATTGTAAGATATTATCATTGGTAAAACACTTAATATTAACTTTGATTAGATTTGATAAACTTTTCAACAATTAACAAGACAATTTTAATCTTACACTTAATTGGTAATCTAAATTGACCAAATTATCAAAATTCTGTCAAAACAATTTAGTTAATTGAATGGATCACATTTTTTTCCCCTCACTAATTGTGAGTAAATGATAAATTAATTAATGAAACAATTAGAAATTTTTTTTCTCCCTGAACATGTTAATCACAATTAACCTTAATTTTCACCACTGAATTCATATTATCATGAATTCAGACAATTAACTAGTCGGTGTTGACCATATAAACCCAACCACAATTAACCAACAATTAATGATGTAATCAATGTTTCTTATTATTATTTGATTGTCTGTTTTTTTTTAAATATAAATTTCACAAAATATTCACTTGATTTAATTGTAAACCCAAAATTTAATTGTAACCTGATTGAGGCCTTTGATTGCTGGATAAATTGTAACTCACAATTGGAAAGACCTGTGATTTAAAATAAGCAAGCTAATTGTTGCTTTAATTGAACATGATTAAGATTGTGCCTGAGTTTAATTAAATCAATCATATTTCCCATCTCATGAAAAGAAACACAAATTAATCATTAATCTTTTCTTAATCATTAGTTAATTAATACACACCAACCATTTTAATTACTGTCACTTTTTACTTAATAAAGTAAAATCACTAATAATAAAATGATAAAAATTCTTAATTGTTAACAATCAATCAATTATTTCCACCAAGCAACAATCAACTTTTCGAGCAACTAAATTAAATTAACTAATTTCATCTCATCTGTAATCTTATTTCAACTTATTATTAGATTTCTCATAAATAGTGACCATTAAGTGACCTTAAGTTTATCAGAGTATCTTCAGGGTCGAAATAACTTTGACCTTAAAAGGTTAATTACTCAATAATATAGTTAATTGTTATCGTAATTAACATCACAATCATTTGAGTTCGTCATGGTTAATAAGCGATTCGACTGTTGATTTAGTCGATTATTTCTTTGATTCTTCAACTATTATGGTTAACTAATTGTTCCAATAATTTGTATACATTAATTTGTTTCATTGAACAATATTAAATTGAAATAAAATGTTAATCACAATTAGTGAAATCGATTCAAAATTAACTCATTTTTCGCAAGTCACGTGATTCTGTTTCCATGGTTACAGCGCTTCTCATATGTTTACATTTCGGTTTTTTTTTATTTAATTCATGTGTTCAAATCTTAATTGTTACTTGATTGTTATTCTTATTCTTTTGATTGTTTAATTTTGTTTAAATTGCTTTAGTATTCATCTTATTTTAATTGCTTGTCTTGGGACATGGCAGAGGAAGAAACGATTAATGAGGAGCGGTTGTTGTCTTCAAGTGAATTACCTGATTGTCAAGTTGATTTACAATCTAATTTAATTGCTGGTGAAGGTACATCTTCAAGTGGACCAGTAGTAGTAGTAGTAGATGAATCTACACAATCAGGTGATAAATTAAGCAAAAAAAAGAAAAAAGAAGAACCTCCAAGTAAGTGATTAAAATTGGTAATTGTGTTGATCAAATGTTTTCATAATTTTCATTTCTCTTTTTTTCTTCCCCATAACTTTAATTATCTTTCAGGTTGGTTTGAGGTTGATGATGATCACAATACCAATGTATATATCTCAAATTTACCTTTAGATACAACGGAAGAAGAGTTTATCACCTTGATGAAAAAATATGGACTCTTGATGAAAGATCTGGACACTGGACAGTTTAAGATTAAAATGTACAAAGATAAAGAGGGTAACTTTAAAGGAGATGCTCTTTGTTGCTATATCAAAGTGGAATCGGTTGATTTAGCACTTCAGCTTCTTGATGGTTCCATGTTCAAGGATAATGAGGTTTCATGTGAGAGAGCAAAGTTCCAATTGAAGGAGATTATGATCCTCGAAGGAGACCCAGAAAACGTAAAGGAAAAGAGAAGAAAAAAATAAAAGAAAAAATTGAAAGGTTGGTTTTCTTTTGTTCGTAACAAATGAATTACACTTGTTCTTTGATTCTAATTACTTTAATTTACTTAATTAATGTTTCAGGTTATTCGATTGGAGACCAGATAAATTACCTGGACAGCGATCAAACTCCGAAAAGACTGTTATAATTAAAAATGTATTCGATGTCTCCGAATTTGATAAAGAACCTGAATTAATATTAGAATATAAGACTGATATTCGTGAAGAATGTGAGGCCAAATGTGGACCAGTGAAAAGGGTCGATATTTATGACCGAAATCCTGAAGGTGTAGTTCAGGTGATCTTTCAAGATTTCGATTCGGCCGATAAATGTGTCCAACTAATGAATGGCCGTTGGTTTGCTCAAAGGAAATTGGAAGCTTTTCTTTGGGATGGAAGAACGAAATATAAAACCATCGAGACGGAAGAAGATGCTGCTAAAAGAATCGATGGATGGAATCAATTCTTGGAAAATGAAGATGATCAACCTCAAGCTGAATCATCTAAAATTCAATCGTATCAAGATGAACCAATAGAAGAAGAGGAAAATGATGATGATGATGATGATGATGATAATAATCATGTTGATGAAGAAAAAGAAAAACAAATTTCCTCCCAAAATGAATCATCACAATCGATTCCCTAAATTGTACTTAATACTCCTTCCATTATCATAATTATCTCTATCAATTGACTTCCATCTCATTGACATGTTCCATGTTAATTATTAAAAATAATAATAATATATTCATTCATATAAATTGATTTTAATTGTACCAAATTAACGGTCGATACGATTATCGAACATCATAAAATCAAGTTCGTGATTGCAAAAATTTTCTTTATTCAATCCAATCCAAAAATCGAATCAAACTCAATCAAATTCTCTACCAATTTGCCTCCACTTCTTATAATTGTTTCAACAATTTAGATTCATAATTAAAATCAAACGAAATTAATTTTTTTTTTGAATTTTTATTCAAAAAATAGAAGTCAATCAGCGCCATCTCTTGGTCGAATGTTGAACTATTTTCCCCCAAGGTGAAATTTCCCTTTAATTTGTTTTCTTTTGAAAAAATTGATGAAAAGGTTTGTCTTTGTTGTTTACATTTTGTTAAATTGTCTTTTTTGATTGAATGTTTTGATTTTTTTTCTCCTTCAGTTTATAATTGATGTATTTTAATTGTTCATCAACCAGGTAAAGTTATCATGCAAATGGATACAGATGAAGTTCACCGTAGAGCTGAGGCTCGTCGTGCTAAACTGTTACAACAACAAGAATTGAGGATGAAGAAAATTTTACTTGGTTCCCGGGTCACAGATTCAGATGATAAGCAAATTGTAACAACACCAACACCAAGTCCAAGTAATTGTATTAATAATGGTTTGGAAGGTTTACCAAGATCAACATTGGAAGAATCAAAATCCTGTGACCATGTAAACAATGGAGAGAATCTAATTGAAAGGGAAAGTTTACCTGTTAAACGAAGTGAAATAATGACCGATTCTCAACCTGAGACTGAACTGAGACATCTAATTAAAACCGATGGTCCTCATTTTCCCCGTAAAGTTTCACTCATCTCAAGTCCAGCCGATTTTAAGACTGTCCAACAAAATCAGGCCAATAAGGATGGACTTTTACCCGTTTATTTATATTCCATGATAATATCACTCCATCAACTTGCATACTCTTTACTTCCTCTCCTGTCGTTAATTTTTCTCGCAGTAATAGGATCTGTTAAACAATACAATTTCCTCATTCCATTTGGAACCAGTCAATTAATTAGGATTGTACATGTTTTTCACAATAATCCCAATGGATTATCGTTTAAACTGTTGGATGTTCTATCAGCTTTGATGGCCCATTTGATCATCTTTTCTACCTTCTACATTGCAATCAGTGTTTTAATACAACAGAAAAATAATATAGCAATTTTATTTTAACACCAACAATCAGCAAATTAACCAAAAACCCAAGGAAACCACAGAAAAAAAGTGGCGAGTAAACAACAAATTAAACTTAGAAAATGATTAATAACAGTTAATCAGTTAATTCTCTTTATAATATCAACCAAATGATTTAACTAATTGCAAACTAAAATCCACGATGGATTATTGTATATTTCAATTATCTGATTATCCCAATAAAAGAAAATCAAATCAACTACAATCAAACATTTCCAATTGAACAATTAAAGGTTAACATTAATCTTACAAACATTAATCAATTTTCCGCGCGATTTTCATCGGTCCAACAATTGGATTAAATTGTTTTGTCTATCAATACAATTAAACTTTTCCTTCCTTTTGGTAAATTAATTAGTTAGAAATAGTAATTTAGTTTTAATTTAGTTTTATTTTATTATTTTTTTCTCATCATTTTCCAAAATAATTAATTATATTTGTTTAACATTCATTTGTATTATTATCTATTAAATCCAATGTTAATTGTAACAAATTGGACTTTAAATTGTTATTAATTGAAAATGTTGTTTGTGTGTTTATCTTGTGTATGGGAATTGAAAATGATCGCGATTTAATTGTTGATTAACCAAATGATACATTGACTGTAAATCCAATGATTGTGATCTTAATTGCGACCAGAAAAAGAAGTCATCAAATTGTAATTGAATTTTATTCAATCATTTTTGTTACTTCTCATAAGAAATTGAATTGTTATTCAACTGAATCGATATTAATTGTTGATTGATTGATTGATTGTTGTTGTTTTTTATTCAAATTGAATGATAAGTTTTTTTTAAATCAATAACTGGGAGTGAAAATGTCTAAATAGGATAACAGGAAGATGTAACAATTAAAATTACATGGCACTTGGGGCATAGTGAGGTTTGTTCCTGTAGAGAAATCAGATTATAAGATGAAAAGAAAAAAATTAGCTGATTGTAAATTGAATTTGGGTTGATCAAATGGTTACTTACGATACAGTTGATTCTGAATTACCAAGATGTTCACCGACATCCATACTTAAACAACCGGCACCACCTCCGAATCCAACACCCTTTGGACCATACTTGCGACCGTAACATTGTTTACAATATAATTCGTTGGGTCCATGTTCAGTACAATTGGTTGAATCGAGTCTCTTGTTACAGAGTTGGCACTTGAAGCAGCCCTTGTGCCACTTTGACCCACCGGCGAGAACCTCTTCAGCGGCGTAAACTGATTTACCACATCGGGGACATTTAGGATGTTCAACTGGTTTGAAAGGCATTTTAAAAAAAACTGTCGCTGAGTTTATCTTATATTAAACAATTAACACTAAGTTTATAATATCAAATGATTTACTTTCAATTTGTTTCTCGTTGTAATTTAAACTGTTCACTGATCAATTTATGATTGGTTTCAACTTTGAAACTTACATTATATTATATCCTAAGATTTGGAAAGCCACCCCCAAGATGATGAAGATGATGATGATGATAATAATCCAGCCCCTTGCCAGTGAGTGGGAGGTTGATATGACTCAAAATAAGAGAGAGAGAGAGAGAGAGAGAGAGAGAATGAAAAGTTCTAATGATGATGATGCTAAGATGCTGAGAAATATGAATAGATGATAGAGGTTACTAGTACAAGAGAGAGGGAGATGGTGATGAAGATGAAGATGAAGATGCTAATGAAGATAAAGATGTTGCTGAAAGGGAAGCAAATAATGCACACGGAACTTGAAATTGGGCTTTGGTATTTTCAGAATTCGAAAATGTTCAAGTTCCTAGTGAAAAGAAAAACACAAACCCATGAAGAGAAGAAAAAATCTCATGTAATCTAATCTCGGTTCCAAGGAGAAGACATATTTGGTCTTGATTAGATCTTTTATTCTAGAAAAGTTCTGTTAACAATTACGTAATTACGATTGACAAACAACAACAACAACAACCATCGGAATCATGATTAGCATGATAATCTACCTTAATCATTATCTTAATCACCATCAGAATGATGAGTGAACCTTTTTACCAGTAAACTATCAAAATGTTCAGACAGTTGAAACAATAATAATAATAATAATCACTTTTGGGCTGACGATTAGTTGAATTACCTCCCAGATTGGTAACTGGATTTAAATTGCGTTAAGAGTGCAAAACATGATGCTAACTGAATTAACGATAATCAACATGAATTAACATTAGGGTTGAAGGGAAGAAGAGCAAAAAAAAAAGTTCTAACAAGTAAAATTATCTCTCGAATTGATTAATATTATTGTTCATCTTGTTTATCGTTTTCTTCATGATTTTCACCAGCGATTCGTTGATTGATTAAGATTAATTTGATTGCCTCAATCAAGATAGCGACTTTTATTTATCCTAAGTGATTAACTAATTGAAATTCATTTGATTTTATTGATAATTACAACTCGTTGTTTTCTAGTTCAATGTTATGTAATAATTGATTGTTCAGTTTACTCAACTCTTTCGGTGTCAATTTGGTTGGTGAAAAATTTCATGGAAATTGTTGTATGACTCATGTTATTCTGATTAATTCTTAATTGTTAATCTCTTTCCAGCTAAATTATGTTAATTGTTAGTTTTGTGTTGACTGCAATTTTCACTCAGCTCAATCAATTTTTACACTCAACCATCAACAGAATCAAATCTATTTTTAAATTATATTCATAATAGGAAAAGTTTATTATCGTAACTTAACATTAATCGTTGTCGTTTTTTTTTAAATTGTAATTTGACTCATTTTCACAATCATGATTCTAATCACAGATAATCATCATCATCATCCTCTCATAATTAATAATTTAATCTAATCATAGATTCTTAATTGTAACAATGAATATACTTACGATCAAATGATCAGTTGAACATAAATAACTTTCATCTTCTCATTTATTTATAACTGGATTAATTTGATTTCTTTATTACTTTCTCATTAATTTGATTGTTTTTTTTACAGTTCGATTGTTATAATTAGATTAATTGTTTAGGTTAAGATAATATTATTCATCTTAAATATGTCAAAGTCAAAGATGGATTAGATTAGTCGGAGCAAAAGATGCGTCGGTGGATTTGGATGCTTGAATTATCTTGGATCATCTCATTATCTTCCTAATCCTTAATCTTTGAGATAATCAAGAATTAGGTTATAATCTCAAGGTTAGATTGATAATTAAAACAAATTGTCAAAATTAAATATGAATTAATTGTGTCAACAAACGTTGACATTAAAGGTGAATCGGTGATTTGTTTTTACCTGTTGGAGGATTGAAAGTTTGTTTCACTTTTAATTGTGATTTAGTTGATTTGATTTGAGTTTTAGATTTGCAATCATCATGTATGATAATCAATTTAATTTACATTTACTTCAATCAACAATCAGTATTCATTCAATTTCAATCAATCAATTAACTGCCAAAAAAAAATGTCAAAAAAGTTAAAACAATTAATCAGAACAATCAAACTTTGAGTGAAAACAATTCAAACTAATGTAAAGACTTTATCTTAATCAATTTCTTGATTAAGTTAACCATTTAATTGTTGATCATCACTTCCTATTGTTAATTGACAGTTGTTTACCATAAGGTTTACCAATTAATAATTGTAAGGTGATTTTAATTGATTGATTAGAATGAGTAATTAAATTGTTTGCCATTGTCATTATTTTCCAGTCTCTAGTTTTGATGATGATTTAGAAAAACAATTAGCAAATTGTACTGGTTACTTAGTAACAAAGGTATAACAGAAGTATAAGTTAATCAGTGATTAGTTGATCAGTAGTTTGGCTAAATTGGTTGAATAGTAAATTAATTGTAAATCAACTATGAATGTTATCATTAAATGTGAAGACCAATATGATCATCAGGTAGGTGAACCTGGTGAAATTGATAAGACAAATTGTCGATGGAAATCAATCCAATATAATCCACAGGCTCAGCCGTTAAAACAGATTGAACAATCAACTAAACATTTGGAATTAGTAAATTGCTTGAACACCTCATCACCTTCATCACCTCAAACAATAACATCATTATCATCATCATCAACAACAACAACAACAACAAATCAAACACCATTCATTGGATTATCAAAGTTTGGAGATGTAACAACAACAATTGAGAAAAATCATCTTAATCATTCCCGTCGATTAGTTAATGATAATCCTTATCCTGGTTTGGCTCAAAGTTATGCTTCCATTGTGGAAAATTATTCCACTAATTGTAATAATCGACGTACAAATAGTAATTGCTTCAATTCGCCTGATTATCGATTGACACTTCCAACGGCGATTAATCCAAGTTCACTTGATAGTGCGAGTTTCATTCGACGTCGAAATGAACGGGAAAGAGCTCGAGTTAAAAATGTCAACGAAGGTTTCGATCGGCTGAGAAAACATTTACCGTTAACTCAAAGTCAACGGGAAAAACGCTTATCGAAAGTGGAAACACTTCGAATGGCGATTAGTTATATTAAACATCTCGAGATTCTGTTAACGCCGAAGTAGTAACACGATGGAAGAGGAGATAAATTGTCCCATTGGAATTTAATTCTCTTTGTATAAATTAAATTAAGTTCAAATCGCCAAGTTTATAATCAATAAATTGCAATTGATTCAATTTGAGAGCAATTTTTGTTTTTTTTTAATCAATAATTATATTCAACATTCAACAAAGTCCAGATGAAATGTCATTTATAACTGATTTAAGGACAATTAGTTGATTGTCAAGATGCACTAATTGGGTTAATAATATTAATTTGAAGAGATTTCAAAAATAAATCTGTGAATGGAAAGCAAAATTTTGTAACAATTAGTAAAAAAGTATCAATAAAATTTATCAGATATAAACAATTAAGTTTCATTTTTATCAATTGTTTTAATCTACCAAAGTTATGGAGAGTATTAATCAATGAAATTAAATTAACTCAACGATCTTTGGGATAATTTAATGATTATACAATTAAGATACTTACATTTTGTTTTTCTTTAATCATCATAAGAAAATGATGTTAATTGTCAAATGTTTAAAGTCTCAGTTTTAGTTTAGAGTAAAACAAAAATTGATTGAGATTGATTAAAGATGATTGAATTAACATTTCAATTGATGATAATCACTTGTGATTATCATTGAATTTAAAGGCAACAATATTGATTACGACTAATTGTGTAATCGTTTAAATTAGATAATCGTTTTTTGGGCAGTAACAATGTAAATAGAATTTGAAACACTGGAATTATTGCTTAGTCCATTTTCGAGGCGAACACCACCGAACATGATGATCTCAGAATCGCCAACAACGAGACTATAAAGAAGAAGTTGTTGTGGTCCGGGTACGTGATTTTCTTGTGGTAACCAGGTGACTTTCTTTTCGGTTACAATTCGAGAAATATCTAATGTGTATAGAAAGAGAGCATCATGAGAGTTTGGAGAGAAATGAGACTTTTGGGTAGTTAATTTGATTGGTTTAACTCCTTTTGATTGTGGACTTTTGGTTGATTCGATGGAACGAGAATTGATAATTGGTTTGTTGATGGTGTTTGTTTCGTTATCTGTTGTCACATATCTACCGGAGCTCATTAATTTCCGCCTTTCAAGTTGAGAGGGTTGAGGTTGTAATCGATATCGAGGTCGGTTGGTAGATCCACAAGGTTTACAACGATGTCGATCTAAAATTTTCTTAAAGAAATTGACATCATTTAGTGATGGTGAACTCTTGCTATTTACATTTCGACCCAAGCAAACAAGTAGATCGTCAACCTGAAATAATAAGAACAAGAACAAGAATTGGAATAAATTATCAGAATTAATAGAAAATAATAGAAAATAATAACAAGAGCAGGAGATTTTAAACTAACCTTACAAACGGGATTTGTACCAATTATTGGCGGTTCACTGGACTGAGAATAATTAACTTCGATAGGATGCCAAGTCCAAGGTTCAGTTCTCATATCTAATATCCAGAAATCGGATAAAAACTTTTTAGGTCCCGAAGATCCTCCGAGTACAATTAGATGATCATCAATAACCAATTGTGAATGGCCATATCGTGGAGGTGGTTTAGGACCATCAGTATTGACCTTTCGCCAAGTGTGACCGGAAATATTGAATGCAAATACATCGTTACTGGCCAAATAATTGTAAGGAGCATTTTCCAATGATTGTAAACCACCAAATACAATCATTTCAATACCATATATACAAGCTTTATGTCCAGCCATTGGTGGACAGTCAGACATTACTTCAATTAGAGACCATCTTGAAGTTTTAGTATCAAATTCATGAATATGATTAAAAAGCTTCCAAGAATCATGGATTCTATTGGATGATGAATGTGTCCAACCTCCAAATAAGATGAGCTTATCCTTATAAGAGACAAGAGAGCAACAAGCTTTGGGAGGTGGATAATTGCCCGAGGATATTGGCCTAATCCATTGGCGTTGGGAGAGATCAAAGGTCCACATATCATTAAATGTTGTCTTTCCACTATTACATCCACCAAAGATGTACATTAAATTTGAATGAAGGCAACAGCTATGTGAATATCTAGCTGATATATGGGGTGTATCGAGTGGATAATAATGGTACCATTCAATATTTGATGATCGGAGGCATGTCTTGAATTTCCTTGCTCTGGTTTCCAAAGTTGCTAGAAAAAGAGAAAATTTCATCCAATTAATGATACTAAGGAGAATCATTAGCTAATTATAGTTTAAACGATAGAATCAATTAACTTACAAATTACACAGTCATACCAATATTTACAAACTAATTTACATACAAGAAGATCATTGTAATGAGGAAGATGACTTAAGATGTACCTGAAGACTTCGGGAGGAATGTTGTTTATATAATGATCATTATTTTCTTCATCATTTTTGGCCACTTCCAATTGAGACATTACCAAAAAGAGAGAGATATTAATTTCCAACTTGATGTGTATGTGTGTGTGTGTTTAAAACAAAAGAAATTAAATCAAATCAAACCTGGGATGAGGAAAAGAATAGAAGAAAAAAAAAGAAAATAGATTTTCAATACTTGTTGTTTATATGGAAAAATAATCAACAGGGTCAAACGAAATCAAGGTTAAATTGAGAGTTTTTTTTTGTATAGAATAAAAAGAAGCTAATTGAGTTTAAAGAGAACAAAGAACCAACTTACCTTGCGAAAAACTTAATCATCGAATTGAGAACAAATCAATTAACAATTTTGTTTTCTCTCTTTAAAATACAATCGTATTGAGAAAATGAGTAATAATAAATTAATAATTTCACAATTGAATCAATTGTTCAACCAGAAAATAGATACACAGACGAAATGTTTGAAATAGAAAACAAATTGTTGGAAATGGAGAAAGAACGAGAAAACCTTGATCACACGAGGAAAAGAAATTAACAATTAATTAAACTAAATTGAGATCCAAAATTTACATTAAGATGATTAAGCTAATAAATAATTTAGACAATCAAAATAAGAGAATCAATTGAATAGATCAACTGATGTTCTTGTAACGAAAATCAAACCGATAGATGGCAGTTTTTTTCTCCTCTCTGATTGGTCGAAATTCTTAGTAAACACACTAACTCATGATAAGATCAGGAAATAGCATTTGAACCATGTGTTGGTTAACAGAATCGTAACAATTTATTTTCTTTTTCTAATTTGTATTATAATTAAATTTAATCATGAATTTATCATTGTTATCACAATTTTCTCTTTCAAATGTATACTTTAAACCTTATTCTAGACAAGAGTTGAAAAAGTCCAGTGTTCTTGAGATAACAAACCCAAAATCTTTCGATGCTCTTGGTCACCCAATGAAAGGAGGTCTTCATGATCCTTTATTAGGTAAACAGTTTTTGTTTTGTTAAATTTTTCGATTTTTTTCTCAATTGTTTTCTTTTTTCGTTGTCTATTCTCTAGGTCCTAGTCGTAAGGATGATATTTGTGCTACGTGTAATCTTGGTGATCGTGGGCGAGATGAATGTCCTGGTCATTTTGGACATATTACTCTTCCTTTGCCGGTTTATAATCCGGTTTTTCTACGTCAAATGTTTCAGGTACAATTTGAATTATTCTTGTTTATTGATTTGATTTAACTTTGTTTTTGTTTATTTCTTTCTCTTGTTCTTGGTTTACCGTCTATAGTTATTATCCATGTGTTGTTTCAATTGTCATCATCTGCTGTTCCATCAAACACAATTACAAATTGTTCTCGCTCAATTTAGAGCACTTGACTTGGGATTTGATTACTTGGTAGATGAAATTCCTTGTGTTGCTTCTGATTTAATGTCAGGAACAAAGGCTGATGATTCACCTGAATTTGTTAACTATCTTAAAATCAAATTAGATGAGTGTATAGATTCTGCAGTTAAAACTGCTGGAAATGTTTCTCTAGATGAAAACAGTCAAGTACGAAATGTGATCGATCGGAAACAGCGTTTAATGAAAGCTTTTCTCATAGGAAAAGCAGTGAAAATACTAAAAACATGTCCAAATAGAGATTGTGGAACCAAAAAATTCAACATGTCACTCATAAATAACTCTATGGTTTTAATGCAAGCAACTAAATCTAAATCTTTGAGCTTTGGAGGTGCATTGTCATCAAAAATGGGAGAAAATGTTGAATCGGAAGATGTCCTTAAAAGCAGAATTCAAGAGGCTGATCTAAGTCTTTCTGGTAAATCATTTTTAACTCCGTTAACCGCTCGAGATCATTTAAGGCAATTGTATAAAAATGAATCGAAAACCCTAAAATTTATCCTGAAAATTTTGATGATGGATAATCGATTTACAGAAGATGAAACTGCAAAAGATTATGAAAGTCCTATTGATATTTTCTTCATGGACACAATTCCAGTTACTCCACCACGTTTTCGTCCTTTACATTTTATGAGTGGAAAATGTTACGAAGATGAAACAACGGCCAATTTAAACTCGATTCTTTTATTGAATGCTGGTTTAGCTCATCAGTTAAATGAGATGAGAAAAAATCCTGAAGGAACTACTGCTGCTGAGAAAACTGCCGAGTTAAAGAGTCTCAATTTAGCCTGGAATCGTCTACAAATTCAATGTAATCGAATCTATGACAGTGAAATGGATAAATTACCCGATAAAAAAGGTCAAGGTGTCCGTCAAGTTTTAGAGAAAAAAGAAGGTCTATTCAGAAAGAACATGATGGGTAAAAGAGTTAATTATGCTGCTCGATCCGTTATCTCTCCAGATCCTTACATATCGGTAGAAGAAATTGGAATACCAGAAATTTTCGCAACTCGATTATCTTATCCGCAACCAGTGACACCATGGAATGTTGAAGAATTGAAAAAGGCCGTTTTAAATGGTCCCGAAGTTCATCCTGGTGCTTTATCGGTTAGCTTTGAGAGTGGAGATGTTATGAGATTAAAAGCCAATGATGTCGAGCAAAGAGTTCGAATCGCCAATTTACTTGGCCAAACAAAACCTGGATCAAGAATCGTTAATCGTCATCTCATCTCTGGTGATGTTTTACTCCTTAATCGACAGCCAACCCTTCACAAGCCCAGTATCATGGCCCACAAAGCTCGTGTTTTAAAACGTGAGAAAACACTTAGATTACATTATTCTAACTGTAAATGTTACAATGCTGATTTCGATGGTGACGAGATGAATGCTCATTTTCCCCAAAGTGAACTTGCCCGTGCCGAAGCTTATAACATTGTCAGTGTTAATAAACAATATCTTGTACCCAAAGATGGTTCCCCCTTAGGAGGTCTTATTCAAGATCACATTGTCTCCGCTACTCTACTCACAATGAAAGGAAATTTTTATAATCGTGAAGATTACCAGCAACTTGTTTACTCTGCTTTATTTTGTCACAATGGTCCAGTTAAATTAGTTAGGCCAACAATCTGGAAACCTAAACCATTGTGGTCAGGTAAACAAATACTGACCACTCTAATTTTAAATTTGGTTCCATCCGATTCAGAGCCTCCCACACTTTACATACCAGCAAAGGTCAACAGTAAAACCTTGACCAGTGATAGGCCAGTTTCTATTACACAAACATCTTTCTACTCACCTGAAGTACTAAATGATGCTGATGTTGTAATTAGACAAGGTGAAGTGTTAAAAGGAATCATAGATAAGGCCAACATTGGACCAACACCTTACGGATTAATTCATTGTTGTTATGAGCTTTATGGAGGTAAAGTTTCAAATGCTTTACTTACAGCTATCGCTCGGTTGTGTACAGTTTTTTTACAAATACACGGAGGTGTCACATTGGGAATAGAGGATATTCTGGTCAATCCAGTGGCAGACTCAGTTCGTGCCGGAATTATTGCCGAATCAACAACCGTCGGTGATGAAGCTGCTTGCCAAGCCGTTAATTTGCCTGTTGGTTGTGAAAAATCAATTCTAACGGAAAAGCTTCGTGAATGGCACGCATCTCAAGATCCCGTTTTAATGAAAACCCTTGATAGCTGTATGAAGGGTAAAACTGATGCAGTTAACAATGGTATTACCGCAGCATGTTTACCCGCTGGATTGATTAAAAAATTTCCCCATAACAATTTACAATTAATGATTCAATCAGGAGCTAAAGGAGGTACAGTTAATGCTTTACAAATCTCTTGTCTTTTAGGACAAATTGAACTTGAAGGTAAACGTGTTCCTCTTATGATGAGTGGTCGAACTCATCCAAGCTTTTTACCTTACGACACTTGTCCTAAAGCTGGTGGATTTGTGACCGGACGTTTCTTGACGGGTATTCGACCGCAAGAATTTTTCTTCCATTGTATGGCAGGTCGTGAAGGTCTCATTGATACTGCTGTTAAAACATCACGTTCAGGTTATTTGCAGCGATGTTTAATCAAACATTTGGAAGGATTAACGGTTAATTATGATTCAACTGTTCGAGACACTGATGGAAGTCTTGTTCAGTTACAATATGGTGAAGACGGAATTGATATTCTTAAAAGTCAACTTTTAAGGCCAAAAGCTATGCCTTTGCTCATTCACAATCGAAAAATTCTTATGCCTGGAGAAATAGAGTTAAACACAGTTTCAATGTCAGAATCAACGGAAGAGAAAGTTGAAGATTTAAAGAGAGACATCGAAGATTGGGAAAAATTGAATGGTAAAGATCGTCTACTTCGTCGTATTGGTTCAGGATTCCAAGAATATTTTGACCTTAAACTAAAAAATCATTTCGAAACTACAAAATCTACCGAGTTAAGTCAAGAAGTTTACTCGACGATTGTTGATTCCTGGTTCGAATTAAGTAAAGAAGATAAACGCCGATTGAATTTCTATTTCCTTCCCTGTCCTGGTCCATTATCTTTTGAATTCAGGCCAAATTGTCATTTTGGTATTTTACCAGAAAGCGTCGAATCTCAAATAGAAAAATATCTTAAAGAATCTAAAGATGGTTTAGTTTATAAAGATGACGACGATCACATTGGCGATGAACGATGGAAAGGTAAAGGCCTTTTAAGTGCGAATGATCTTAGGAAATTAGTTAGCGCTCGATTTATAAAATCGTTGGCTGATCCCGGAGAATCAGTTGGACTATTAGCCGCTCAATCAATTGGTGAACCTTCAACTCAAATGACATTGAACACTTTCCACTTTGCTGGTAGAGGTGATATGAATGTAACTTTAGGAATACCTCGACTTCGTGAGATTTTAATGACCGCATCTCCTACCATTGCAACCCCGAATATGGATCTACCTTTGGCAGCCGATTTCAATGAAGATGATATCAATAGAATCAGGAAATATCTCAGTGCCGTTAAATTGAGCGATGTTTTGGAAACCATTGATGTCAAAGAATCCCTATCAATTAACGATAAAGGATGTTATCGATATTATGATATCGAATTCAAGTTATTACCCCGCTCATGTTACAAAGATCAATTTAATGTAAAACCTAGAGGTATAATCGGATACATCGAATCAAAGTTCATTGGCAAATTGATTCAAGCAATCAAGAAAACGATAACTATACAAAAGAAATACAATTCACTTTATGATCATTCAATGCATCATCGAGAAAGTAAAATAACCGATGAAGGAGGAGATGAATTCGCAGCTCCAGTTCGTGTAAATAATCTTGATGAGGCGAGTTCTGATGAGGAAGAAAATGCCGTTGAAGAAGATACTCATGCAGTGAAGACTAAAGCCAATAGGAATCAAGAACTTGACTATGAAGAACCCGAAGAGGAAGAGATTGAGGCAAACAAAGAGCCCGATGAAGATCAAGGTGAAACTACCGTTTTAGATGCTGAAGAAGATGAAAAAGACGCTGAAAAGGTGAAAGGTGATGAAGAAGAGGAAGTGGGCGAAACAAAACAACAAGAAACTAGAGCATTGGAAGCACATAGAAAGTCAATGAAGTTAAAAGCGGAGAAACAAAATCGAGAAATGCTCGTTAAAGAGCAAAGTCCTTTAATCCATAAATATGATTATGATATTCATGATCTTTCATGGTGTCGAGTTGTTTTCAAATATTCACTGGATTATGATAAAGTAGATATCGCATCTGTCATTGAATCGGAAGCTCGTAACGCTTATCTATATAAAGTTGGAACAATTCAAAAAGCATTTGTTGTCGATGATCGAAACGCTTCAAAACGAGGTTTCACTCACGGGAAGATGATAAAAACGGAAGGAGTTTGTTTCTTAGATCTTGTTAATATGCATAAATATTTCGATCTCAATCGAGTTTACAGTAACGATATTCACGCCATTGCAAATACTTATGGTATTGAAGCTGCTCGAAAAGCAATAACAACCGAAATTGCAAACGTTTTCTCAGTCTATGGTATCGAAGTTGATCCAAGGCATCTTTCATTAATTGCCGATTATATGACATTCGATGGAAGCATTAAAGGAATGAATCGACATTCAATGGCTGGAAGTAGTTCCCCGTTACAACAAATGACCTTCGAAACAACTTCAGTGTTTTTGAAAAGTGCACTTATGTTGGGTAAGTTGATTAAACTGCGATTAAATTGCAAGCCAATTGATTCCAATCTAATCTAACGTTTTGCTTTTATTGATTTTTTCTATTAATTCTCAGGTTTCAATGATGATCTTAGATCACCTTCTGCCAGAATATTTGCTGGCCGTCCGCCGATAGTTGGAACAGGAATTTTGGGCTGTATTCAAGACGGAACTGTAACATATGAACAATCGTTAAACAGAAGATTTAAACCAAATAGAATAAGAAAGAAGCCCTTTACACCAGAACAAAGGGAAAAATATCGCATGCAAAAATTTGGTAATCGTAAAAGAAAGTTCCAAGTTGAAGTGGAAACTGAACCATTACCTTTAAATAAGAGAATCAAATTTGATTAAATATGTACAGTTAATTTAATAATGTTATTATTATACCTCAGCTTTCAGAAATGAAAGAAAAGTTAAGCCTTTTGAAAATACTGATGGAATCAAGAGAAAAGGCAAAGCTGAATCAAAAAGGCCTCTGGGAATATGTTTTGTTATATTTTTCATTGAATAAATTGTTTATTCAGAGATAAATATAAATTGTACAAAGATGAGAGTCGGTCATCTCGTTATAATCGGACAAATTGACCAAAGGGAATCACCAGGAACTATTGAATCAGTAGCTACATTGATTGTTGCTGATTAATGATACTCTTGAGATGAATGGTTAATAAAGGAAGAGAATCAAAAGAAAGAGAGAGAGAGAGAGAGAAAAAGAAAGAATTGGTAACCGGAAGAAAAGAGAAACCAAATGATGGAGAAAATCAGGAAAACAATGGAATAAAAGTGAAAAAGTGAACAAGTTGAAGAAAAAAAGAAAATGAAATGGTGATGATGAGAGTAAAGTGGAAATAGAATATGATGATGATGAGAAAAAAAGGAAAAAAGAAAAAAAAGAGAAAAAGAGAAATGCAAAAAAGGCAAGAAAAGAAAGAAAGAAAAAAAGATTATTCTCTTTTCATCATGATCTCATTGATGTTCCATGGAATTACCATGGGAGTATCTCTCTTATTTCAGTTCCTCTTTTTTTCTATGCGCAAGTTTTACCTTTGGAGATTTTTCATCATCATCATGTTTCAATGTTTCGCAATTCTCAATGTTTATCAACGTAGATTCTCACGTACAAGTTTTATTGTTAAGAGTTAACTTCTTATTCCAATGAGAAGGTGATGATGATGAACATTATCATTATCATTAGTAAGAGAAAGACACTGTGGGTAATATATTAAAAAACTGAGAAGAAGATAAATTCTGAAAGAGAGAGAAGACGAAAGAGTAAGATGATCTAATGGAGCAGGAGCAAAGATGAAAGAAAAAGATAAATTCTGAAAGATTGTTTTTCTTATTCCAATAGTTAAGCTTAAAAAGAAAATAGAAAAGAGCAGGATCAAGTTGGAATAATTTGAAGAGGAGAATAGAATGAGAATGAAGATGATGATGAAGATGAAGAGGAAGATGATGATGATGATGGAAAAGAGGGAAAAAGTAAGAGAAAAACTGAATCTCGGTGAAAAAGAGCAAAAGCAACAAAACATGAGTTTCGAATAGCCATTCACAATATTATTCCAAGTTCTGTCTCTCCTTTTTTCTCCTTTTATTTTGATTATTTTTTCCGTAACAAAATCAATTAACTTACAATTAGAAACAATTAATTGAGAATTTAATTTGGCCCCTGATCAATATTTTCTTTTATCGTTGGTTTTTCTTTTCGAATTCATTATATCTTCGAATATAATTTTCCCTCCTTTCGAATTGTTTATATTTTTTATTTCGTTTCGATGTGTTCACTTGTTTCTCTTTGTTTACTTCATGTGATTCGATTTTTCTATTCAATGTTCTAAGTGTTTTCTCTCATCATCATCATCATCATCATTATGTTCACCATTTTCCATCATCACCATGACCGTCATCATTATTTTCACCAACAATTCAGTGTTTACTATTGATAATTGATACACATTATCATCGCCAAAAAGGAGTAAAGATAAATCATCATTCTCATCACACAGTTTATCCTTTAGAAATTCAATCATCTTCTTGTTGTTAGTACAATTTTTTTTTCTCTCTCAAAAGTTATCGATAATAATTGACTCAATGCTCGGGGCTCAAGTTCGTTACTGGGAGCGTAAAAGGCACCCTGAACGCTATGGACCAGGCGATAGTGAATCTCATCAATCATATTTCGTCCCTCGTCTATCCAAAGATGGTCAACGTTACCTATTAATCTTTATACTGACCAGTCATCTTCTCACATTACCTCTATTCCATTATCTTGCCTCGAAGTCGTTTAATTTTGTCGACATACTTTTCAATTGGTTAACCTATGACATTCTTGTCCATGAAATCGCCCTTTCGATTGGTCTATTTGGTTCAATTACGGCCAAATGGAAGCCTTTAATTATCGCTATATTCCTTTTAATGGTCGCCATTTTATGTGACATCGCTGTTACCCGTTTTTGGACTCAATGGAATGCCAATGCCGCTGTTTCCATCTTCATGTGGGCTCTTATAGCTCTTGAAATCGCTTTAGCTCATTCGCTGGCTAAACATTATAAAAGAATTGAGGAAATGCCTCGAGAACCTTTGAATGGTCCAAGAAAAGGTAACCAAGCTTACCATTATGGTTGAACAAATGCCCCTCAGGCAAAATGTTACATGAAAAATGGATTTTGATTACATTCTAACTTGACCAAAAATAACAATTCTAATAATAATAATAATCCGTAACAATTTTAACGATAACAAAAAGGGATGAATGATAAAGATGAGGATGGAGATGGAGATGATGATGATGATGATGATGGTGATATGTTCATGGAATCAAAATCAACAGAGGAAATTAAGTGTAAAAGTGAAATGTAAACAATATCAAGAGTGTAAAAGTTAATAACAATCAAGAGGATAAATGGAAAAGTCAAAAGATCAACAAGCCCAAAAGCCAATAACGGAAAACTTGGATTCATTTATTGTTATGAAAATAAGACCAAATTTATATTATTATTATTATTATATAAGAATGAGAATTGAAATTGAAAAATTTATATATGTTATCATTGTTATGGTGATGATAGATGATAAAGGTGATGATAAACATGATAAATTATCATGATAAAAGAGTGAAAAAGGTAAAAGCATAAAAAATGTCAAATGGAACCAGAATGATAATTTAAATCGTGACAAAGTAACAATTTAATGGGTAGAAAACGCGATTCCCTTAATTGCCATCAATCAGTTAGCTAATTTTTTCCTCCTACAATTGTGATGATTTTGCACGCGAATGAGATGTTATAATATTATCATGGAATCACCATGTTGATTAAGACAACAAAAAGTTACCCAATTGTCATGAAAAATAAATAACTAAATGAGAAGACCAAAGTTTCAATAATCATCCTCATCATGTACAATCAATATTTTCAATTTACTTATCTTCTAATATCATCATCACATAATTTACTGTAATTTTATTAACCATTGGTGCCATCCAAATATTTATCCTGTTTTATCATCATCATTATTATTATTATTATCTTGATGATAATCATCATCAGCATCATCCATTAATCCAATGATCATCAAAATCAACACCATCAACAAGCAAAAGTAAACATTAAACTGACAATTTCCTCCAGCAATCAACCATCAACTGTAATCTTATTCAATTTTCTGGTTTATTGGTAATTATTATCCATGGCTTTTAATCATCTCAATCACACCACAGTTTGTTTATCCATCATCCAAGATGATCATCCTCATCCTTTCATCCTCATCACACACACACATAATCAACCAAACCATTGGATGGATTAAATTTAATTGTTTACCTTTAACCACAAATACAAATACAAACAACAACAACAACAAAGATAAATAATCGGGTATCAATGTCAATGATGGTGAATAATGAAATTGATTGAGGATAAATTCACTCTTGATTGAAATCTAACTATGATAAAATTCAATATCATGTTCATCATCATTGTTCATCATCATCATGGTAGATATATAAAAATGTTACTCTCCTTTCTTATATTAAAACCACCGTCACATTTTTTCATGTATTTATAGAGTTGAATATGAATTATATTTACATAGAGATACAAGTTAACATAAAGAGATAGAGAAAAAGTAAAAAAAAAAAGATGAAGAAGAAAAATAAAATCCAACTCAGAATTGGATGAATGAAATGTTAATAACAGTTTTTAGAAAGAGATAGAGAGAGAGAAAAAAAATAACAAAGTATATTACAATTCTTGGTGGGTATTCATGGTGAATGGATGATGAAAAGATAATAATTATAATAACATATCAACATCGCAACAGTTTCCATGAAGCTTTAGCTAAAGTGATGCTTGTCAAGTGCCATTACCTTTGCTTCACAAATTCTGATCATTTCCTTGTATTATCATCATGATTATAATCATTTCCACTCTTCCCTTAAATTTAATCACATTTAATCATCATGATTAACTGGCAGAGAGAGAGAGGAACACAATTTGGTAACAATTAAATCTCAGATGACAATTAATCACAGTATTTTGGATAATATTACTTTTCCCAATTTGCTTATTTCTGTTCATCTCTCATTTGTAATTAATCAATAATTGATGATAATTATTTATGTGAACCATACAAAAAGGGTAAATGATTAATTACCAACAATTTACACAGTAACAATTAACACAATATCTTAATCATGTCTTAACTTTAATATCATAATCAAAGGTAATTAATCAAAGCAAAAAAAATAGTGTTAAGTTTGTTGTCTTTATTGTTTTCATTTAACCTTTTGTTTACTTGACCTTAATTGTTGATTAAGGTTAATTGTAATAGATTAATATTCATTTTCATCATCATCATCATCATTGCTTTTAATTTTCCTTGTTTAATTGTCCTAATTCAAATATTGTTATTAATTGTCCATTGGAAATTATTATTATGTGATGTAAAAACCAAAGTAAATCATTTGTTACCATTACTAAATTTAATTGAAATCAAAGTTAATCAAGTTAATCTGATTAACAGTTAATCATCTCCTCTTGGTGCTAATCATCTCATACCAACCCAAACCTTTAGAATCCAATGATGATACAGAATTGAGATAAACTTTCCCGATAATTAATCTGCTTGATAATCCAATTAGTAAATTATATTATATTGGAAGAGATTAAATCTTTCCTTACAATCAAGACAAACAATTAACTGTAATAATGAATATTAAACAAGTTCCGTCGATGTTAAATTTTCCTAATTCAAGATTAACCAAAAGTTAATTGTTAACTCTAACCAAGTCTTCCGACACTTAATTAATAAGCTAATCAAATAATTATTACTTAATAATATTAGTTAATTGAAGTATTGCATCACTAGTGTTAGGTTAATTATCAACATTGATTATAATTGTAATCGATGAGGATAACAAAAAAAAAACCAAACTTCTCAGTTGTAATGATGTTGAAAATGAAATTATAACTCAATTAGGTAATTAGGAAATGATTCAGTTAACATGAGATAATAACAATGATAATGATAATTTTATA